ACCTGCAAACAACTGGTGTCACAAATTGTGAAGAGAAGGCCAGCCAGAGAGATGAATGGAGACGAGTGATATCTGCAGCAGTAAACCTCAAGGGCTCAGAATGCTAAAGAAGAAGATGACTATTCTGTGCTACTTTATGTGAAGTAAAAGTTCAGCATACATTTGGCGTTATGAATGTGTGTGTGTGTGTGTGTGTGTGTTTTTTTTTTTTTTTTTGTTGTTGATATATTTTATACACAATGCACTATTTGTAATCGTATTCTGCCGAATAGTTGGTCCCGTTATTCGTATTCGGCCGAATAGTAAAAATCACTTTTCGGTACAGCCCTAATATATTATATATATATATATATATATATATATATATATATAGAGAGAGAGAGAGAGAGAGAGAGGGGGGGAGAGAGAGATAGAGAGACAGACAGACAGACAGACAGAGGGAGGGAGGGCGGGGAGACAGTGCAAGAAGATTCTCGACAGCCTTTTGTCGCCGCATGGAGTGGTACCAACACAATAACTGATTTAGACAGTTGCAGATCGTAGACTGTGGAGAGGCATGATTGCCCACGCCAGTCGGCTATACATTTTATTATATATATGTATATATATATATATATATATATATATATATATATATATATTATGTGTATGTATATGTATGTATGTTTACGTGTGTGTGTCTATATATATATATATATATATATATATATATATATATATATATATATATATATATATATATATATATATATATAAAATAAAGAAGCCGGAGCTCTCCCCTTTGTTAATTGTTAGGGCAAGTGGAACCCGAGGGGCCTGAATGACTAGACTCTAGCTACCGCTCTATCTGTTTACACAATATGCGAACATATAATTTTTAATGTATTATTTGTACTTTTGCAGGTGGCCACGCTTTTCCACGATGCTTCAATTGGCAATGCGGTCAATATTGTCATTGTTAGGATCATTTTAATGCAAGATCCAGATGTAAGTAATTTATCAGCTTAGTCGTTATAGTCGTATTCGTAGTTTACATATTATGTTAAGGACAAACAAATGTGCAATCATGTTAAATTCCCTGATCGCTCCCTGGAGCGCCATTCTCTCCACACCGAGATGATATATTTGCCTTTTTCATTGTTCATTGCTTTGACCACATCCAGACTGTCTTGCATCACGTCACTCACTATCTAGTGGCGTAACACAAGCCAGCCTGTCTGCTTGCTCATTTTTCAACACATTTGCATAACCTAAAGAAAATATCTAAAGGACAGAACATTTTTAAAGAACACTAACTACCAAGGATCTCTAAAGAGATGTTTGCTTCTCTGAACGAGGAAATGTCTTTGTTGTACTAAACTACGTCCATTCGTTTTCGCAGGGCACCCCGCGCACGATTTTAGCCTCTTAAACTGATCTGTCTGTACAGATGATCACATCACTGGGCGTGAATGGTCAGGGATTGGTTATTGAATGTATGACTCCTGCCGGCCACACACTGCACTGTCGACCCAACGTGATTTAAACTCAACACACGTCTGATTTGTGCACTCATACCCTGACCCAGTCATCACCTCGCCCACTCAGAAGTAGATAAAACATTAGTTTTCTGGGATTTTAGTAGCAACAAAATAACTGAAAGATCTGTTCTGAAAGAGCTGTATTTGATCATTCCAAAGAAAAAATCACGCTTTTAGCTTTCTACGATAGACATGTGGTGTATTCATCTTTTGTATTTGAATTATTTGTTTCCGACGGAGTCTGTATGTATTGCTTTAAAGCTCAGTATCTTGGCATAGGAGAGGTTATAGTGACAACTGACTGGAATTTAGAGAGTTAAAAATTAAAATTATTATGTTCATATTTCGAAATTAGAAAATCAACTTCAAAATAATCAATGATGATCTCTAGAATGAGGTTGTATGGAGTGAGTCTCCAATAACACAAACCGGCTGTCAAAATCATGGTGTTTATTCTTATAGGTTTCTTCCAGTAGCCCACCCAATTGTAACGTTAATACCCATTCACATTTTATCCACCTGTTTTTGTTCCCTCTAGTACATCCTTTTGCAATAAACATGGTTTTTTTTTTTTTTAAACTAAAGTATCTTTAATACCTGGCTTTCACTGAATCATCTGGAATGAGTCTCAAATACCACCATGCCTGGGTCTTCATTGTGCATTTTGATAAGCTTATCCCAGTAATTCATCTCTTAAGCTAGTCCACACACCCCTTGTACACTTGACCTCTTGTCTTTCCCTCCAGCAAGGAGTCATATTTCTATACAGCACCTTTTTCTAAGAGTTTGCCATTGATGTTATAGTGTTGGTATAATTCCCTTGTCCCCTTATTTCCCTACTTTGCTATTTTACAACATTTTGTCACGATATTCTTCATTTTCGACTACAGAACATAACATAGGTTTTAACAGCACCCTCACATAATAATAATCATAACTTTTAGACAGTTTTAAGCTGCGAGCTCAAATGTTTGGTTTTAAACAGCTGTTCTGTATTATTTAATGATGTCTTCGCCGTTCCTGTTTTCTTTGTTACCTTCTCACACCTTCCAGCAGTTATTAATCCCCCATGTAATTAAAACTGTTGTAAAATGTTTTTTTTTTTTTTTTGTTTACTGTAATTTTCATAAATTAGCTTCATAATTTTGATAATAACGAGCCCCTCCCCTTTTCCCAATGGTTGTGTCTTGACTATTTTCATTAACGGTTTTTTTGATTTGGTTTACTAACACTTCGAGCGCCTGTGCTGTTTGTGTCAACACAATTGTATCGTTTGTCACATTTTATGTTATTTATTGTTTCTCTAAATGTTGCTAAGTGCTGATTTTCTCGCATTTTATATCAACGTATTTACAGTGTGAAATTTTTTTAGGCAAGACGGTGATGTACACTTCTCTGACCGTAATGCTGCGTTGCGTTCCTAGCATAATTTTGTTAATTATCTTTAGTCCTCTCCGTGTGGGTTCTGGGGTGTGATTGATTCAAGAACCGACATCACATCACCCAGGGCATTTCCTATAAGCGCTCTGTCCCCATCTTCAGCATCCAGCGAAAAGTTCAGATAATAATGGTGCCAGTAGCATTATGATTAAACGTCCGTCTTGCCTTTCCTCTGAACCTCGAGCATCTGCCAGAACCTCTCATCACTCCCCCCTGCATCAGTCTCACCAGACTGTGGTGATCCATCTGCTCCTCCGAACTGTACAAGCTCTCCCACAAGGCACTAACCACGTCTGCCTTATCATGCATCAGTATTCCACCAAGCTGTGCAGAGCCAGCCAGTCTGTCCGCCTGATCATTTCCCAACACACCGGCGTGCCCCGATGAAAAAAAATACAGACAATACTCCTCATCAACGTCTTCCGCAGCGAGGCATGCCACTCTGCACAAAGCATGTCTGTCCTGATCTTCCTTGGTAAGCTTTCTGAGTCAGTTACAATCACGATGTGTGTGTGAGGGTTTGTTGTGTTCTCTAGCCAGCGGAAAGCTGCAGTGATCACCTCCACCTCCATTCATTAGGTAGATGTTGTGCTATCATGTGCTAGGCTTTCCTGCACCAAACGTCGACCATTAACTTTTGCTAAGAAACCCCAAGCACTTCTTTTGCCTCTTGACACTGAACCGTCTGTGTAAATGATCAAATCTTCTGAGCCAGCATTATCTTGAATTAATTGCTGAATTTCCACCTCTGTGGCACGTGCTGGCCATTCTCTACATTTCCTGCTCAGTGTGATTTTGACCCTACACAAGTCTGTTCAGGTAGCACTTTGACCACTCCTCTCCTCCCCTAATGTTCTCAAGGATGCAAACCTGCCTGATTGTGTCTTCTGCCTGCCATCCATGACTTCCCTCTTATCAGCCGTTGACCCTCAACTGCACCCAGAGCTTTGGGGTTCGTCTGGGAAAACACCACTTCCGCTAGGAAGCACGTCGTACAGGGCAACTAATTAGGAGTTTACTAACGTCGGATGTGTTGGAAATGAGCAGTATCGCAGTCTAGCTGTTAACCACAACCCAACATGTCAATCGCCTTTTAAGGCCACAGAAGAAAACGAATAAGAAAATCTTCAGTCTTTGCTAGCGACTTCTGTTTCATCCAGCCTTTAGTTTTTTTGTTTTTTTTACATGGCTCGTGTTTTCTTTTAATTTTTTTTTTTAAACTAATGCTACGGGAAAAAAAAAACATTATATAAATGGAAAAGACTTCTGTTCCTTATAGGTATAATAACGCTTACTCGCCTACACTGAAGGTTAGTTCGTATCCGAGGTGTGCTACAATAAACTGTTACGGTTTAATGGGGCTTCTTGGATTAATTTCTGCTGGACCCTTAATCCTAATTGCGGCTCTTTATCTCAGTGGGTGTCAACTTTTTAGTCACCAATCCTGCCTAGAAGAAATTAAGGTGAAAAAAAGATGCATAATTTTCATGGGAATTATCTGAAATAAACTATTCAGTTTGTGGTTACTGCATTAGCCATGCGACCTTTAATCCTCAGGTTCAAGATCTCAGTGTCATATGACTTCCTAAAAAGTTGTATAAACGGGAAGTAGTGACTGCACCCACCCCCTCTCCCACCCACCCACCCAAAGCGCCGGAACAAACACGGTGTGGATTCCTGAGTAGCAATATTCAGGGGAGGGCTGGGGCAGCATAGAAGTCTACCTCTAATTCAAAAAACTGATTTGTGAATTACGGTGCCTTCTCTGTAGTTATACTTTTTGCACCTGTTAAAAAAAAAAAAAAAACTGGTTTAAAAATCGTGAGGAAAAATGTTGCTCTATTCCTACTTTGGTTATGCAAAGAAAGTTCAAGCTTAATTGTATAGTTTGATACTTTATAGACCGTATTCCCGATTCTGTTTTCCATTTTTTGTAATTTACTCGTCATTGAGTTTTATATACTGCTGAATTTGGTTTTAACATATGTTGTCTAATGAAAACGGAAAAGAAATACTAATCTATATTTGGTCTTAAATCAGGAAGAACTTCAAATCAGCCATCATGCAGATAAAACACTAAAAAGTTTCTGCAAATGGCAAAAGAATATAAACTTCCGAGATGACGACCATCCAAACCACCATGATGTTGCCATACTGTTAACCAGGTAGGCATATACAGTTTAACCAGGTAGGCATATACAGTTTAACTACGTAGGCATATACAGTTTAACCAGGTAGGCATTTACAGTTTAACCAGGTAGGCATTTACAGTTTAATTGTCTTAGTCTTTTTTCCTCATTTTCCTTTTCTGGAACATATGCAGGTGATCATGACTGTCTTATTATCTTCATTATTCCGTGTTTAATGAAGTTTACTTTGTTTATATTATTGATGTTGCAATGTTGCAAGTTGAAGTGTTCCACAATTTATACAAACAGATCAGTTGGCACGTAATGAACCTGTAAGAAGAAAATTGGACAGAGCTGGTATATCTATTTCAGTACCTAAAAAGTCACTATGCATTTGATAGAATTGCCTAGAGTGTTATGCTTATTCAGATGTAGCATAACCGATTCTGTCCCAGTTATGACTTCAGTTCCTGTTGTACTGGTATTTATATAGATCCTGTTAAACCCAAACCTAGATATCTTTAGGCATTAGCTACTTGGAAATACAGGAATTAAATTACACATGACTGATACAGAACTTCTTCTTTTTCTTGGCTTTCACCGGCTGTAAACGCATGTGGACAGTTCTAATTCTAGTTGTTTGTTAACTTCTGGACTTTGATACTATTCTAGAACTTGAGTTTTGCGTCACGTCAGTTTCAGAGATCCAGCTTGTTTGTAAGAAGACTGTTCGTTCCTTGTCGCTGTGGCGATGCATTCTGACTTTTCAACACAACATCCCTAATTGGTAGCCTTGTATGACATGCTAGTTAACATTACGTGAATGATCAAGCACAACTATTTTGTATAAGTCAAAGATGGGAGACATTGTAACCAGCTGCTCGTGGGAACAGTGATTAAAGTTTATTTGCGACGGCTAGTCATCAACGGAGTAGAAAGCCCAATATGATGTTACTTTGATTGTAATAATTTAACATACTATTTCCATAATTTTCTGTCTTTCTCTTTCTGTGTTGACAAGAGGTGTTTCGCGTAATTATATTGTCTCTATACTAGCTTACCCTTTGATATGCTATATAGATTACCCTAGTCTTGTCCGTATGGTTTTAACGAGTGATTTCAAAACTTCATCACTCAGTTCACAAACTTTTCTTTCTTTTGCCCTTAGGATATAATCATAATTCTTCTTAAGTACCATATCTCCATTCTCTCAATGTGTTCATCCTTTCTTCTCTCGCAGTGCAAAATCTAAAATTTAACAAAATTAACAGATCAGAAATACACTTTCAGTAAGCAGATTTGTGTGTGACTGTGGCTAAATCTCTGTGTTTTCCGACTTTACTTATTTGACTAGACTAGGACTGAAACCAGTCGATCATTTCATTAAAGAGCAATAGATGAGATGGTCTAGCTATCTGATGAGAATGGAGAATGCTATGATCACAAATGCCACACACACACATACACATACACACACACACACACACACACACACACACACAATACGTTTAAGAAGTAAAATGTATACAGAACAAGGGAAGACAACGTAGAATATGAAATAAAGGCATCAAAACCAGCCTTTAAAACTTATACAAAAAATAAAAAGAGCACATTCAAGTCCCTTAACATCTGACCAGCATCCGCCACCTATCCTTTCTCCACACACACACACACACACGCACACACACACACACACACGCACGCACGCACACACACACACACACACTCACACACACACACACACACTTTGATAAAGTAAATGAAAAAGAAGAATACAAAAAAGAAGACCGTATTAGACAATTTACTGCCTGTCATATTAATCAGTATCTTGTCAGGTGCATTATTGAGAGTTTACACCGGTATTTAAAAGAAGCCGCATTTAGGTAAAAGTGAATTAAGCCAAAGTTTAGAGCCTTACAATCTTCGCAGTTTTTGTTTCCACAAACACAGTTGTCTTTTAGTTTTCACATGCACAACCTTTTAAAGTATTATATATTATAATTTCTGCGATTTTGCAAACACATTTCTTATTATTTCTTTTTAATAAAAACTACAAGACAGTATATTTCCAATATCCATATACTTAAAAAGTTTATATATTTTGTTCGATTGGCTGGCACAATTTAAATGGCAGGAATCTCAGGGCTGTATACAACAGGATCTCATCATGTCCACACCCGGCCTGAGTAGACAAATCCCGCTGTCTCTTGCTACACTGTACATTTCACCAGAGACCTCTAATATTAACCATCTGGGGAGAAACAGAGAGTTATGCCAGGCACTAAATTTGCAATTTATCGTGTTTATGACATCATTATTTATATTCACAATTGGAAAAAAAAAATTATTTTGAACTTTTAAAAATTATTTTGAAAGTTTTGAATAGATAATATAAAATTAATGTTTTCTTCTCAGAACCAACATTTGCTCTCGTAATAACGAGCCTTGCAGTACACTGGGTCTAGCACAAGTGTCTGGATTATGCCAACCGCACAGAACGTGTAGCATCAACGAAGATACCGGACTATCTCTGGCTTGGACCGTGGCTCATGAATTAGGCCACAAGTAAGACATGCCTTTGCACATTTGCCTACACACATGTATTTAAATCTCTTTTTACGGTACTTCTACTGTTAATAGAAGTAGGCAGTAGCTAGTCTCCGGGAACAATGATGTTATGCTGCTTGGTTTGGGAATAGCATCTGCTGCAACTCTAAAGTCGAATGCAGGAGTGAGTCTCTGTCACATAGTCCACATAAAAATGTTGATGCTCTATAATTTTGAGGCTAGTTTTTCTCTCAGGCCTCTCCACTCTACAGCTTGCTGCGTCTGGCTTCTTTCAGACTGCGACAGTTTGTCTTTTACTGTCTGTCTTCAAAGGTGTCAGTCTGCAGTTGATCTATCCTTTGGAATGTGAGCATCCTCCATGCGAGAGACAAGTCCCAACCAAGGCAAGTGTCTTTGCTTAAGTAGAAAGTACAATGTTGGCATTTATGCTCTTCTGACTACATATTCATTGAAGACAAAATCTCGCCGTGCTATACCAAGAATGCGTCTCATACGGCACATGTGAAATGTTTTTAAGTTTTGTTGTTGTGTGGATCGAGTTTCACTGCTTCCACCAGTAAAAGTTTAAGTATTACCAAGAAAAGAAGAAAAAAATTCAAGAACTTGGAGCATACATAATATATGATGCTGTTCCCATATTATTTTGGCACTCTGTGTAAATAAAGTTTTTATCACGCCAGTGGCGCTCGGGGCCTTTAAGGCCAGAACTCATATTTTTGAAATCAGTTCTCGCTGGGTGATGTGATCGACAACACGCCGGCCATCGTTACTTCTCAGGATTTGACCTGGTATACCCATAAAAGGCTGAGAAGACTGCCAGCCAAGGTCGTATTTGCAAAAAGTCCATGTGTATTTGAACCTATGACTTTCAGATCCACGGTTGAGCATCTAGCCGCTCCACTGTCAGTTCCTCGGTACTTGAAGAGTGTGTGGTCAACAGCGTGTCATCTATTTCCAGAGCATTTCCTGCTGTCCTTTTAGACTACGTTTAGCTGGAAATTCATATAATATATATATATATATATATATATATATATATATATATATATATATATATATATATATATATATATATATATATATATTAATACTAACCCCCTCCCCCCCACACACACGTCCCTGTTTCTCAATAGAATGTTGAACCACTGGATTAGCAGTCAAGTTAATATTTACTGAGGTTAGGATATAGCTGCATGAAGATATGATGGGTCTTTACAATTACATAATTTATTGGCGCTGCCATGTTAGTTGACCAATCCCATTTTTTTAAAATCCCCTTCTATATTGATTACATTTGAGTTTCAGATTAACAGTGAGCTTTGTTTTTTTTTTTTTCGAAATGTTCCAAAGTTTTGGCATGAAACATGACAATCAGCACAGCGACTGCATGACTGACTCAGATGTGCCACATGTAATGGCTCCTCACCTAACATGGGACAAGTCACCATCCACATGGTCCAACTGTAGCCGCCTATCAATCACAAAATTTCTGGAGTAAGTAGGAAACAACAATTGGTCACTTTTAGCAATAAGCGAGCATCGACTTCATTGCCATGGGTTTTTATCCCATGTAGCTCATTCTCTCTTTCTCTCTCTCTCTCTCTCTCTCTCTCTCTCTCTCTCTCTCTCTCTCTCTCTCTCTCTCTCTCTCTCTCTGTAGAACAGCGAGTTGTCTGCCAAGAGTATCACACAAAGCACCATCACAGTTTCTATGGCAACGATTCACAGGAACGTCTATACAAATTGCACGTGGAACTGAACGACACTGGCATGAAATGACCCACCTGTTTGACTTAACGTTTAACTAGGATACCACTACAGATAGAGGATTGTAGTTAATTTGTGTAACTGTAGCGTTTCGCAGCGTTTTATATAGTTGAATGCGATATCTAAGATTTAGTTCCAGTCTTGTTTGATGGCATTCAGTGCTTGGCTACTTGAGTCAGTAGGTGTTACATCTTCATATTGTAGTCCTGGAGTAGGAATACATAATAGAGAATGAATATGACCACGTGTAAGAAAAATTTGAGTGATTTCAAAGTTTGTCTCCATGGGGTCTCTGTAGCTAAGCGCTATTTGCTTCATGTTCAGAAGATATTGGGTTCATTTCACGTGCTGCTTTTTATTTTTTCAAATTTATGGAGACTCCTAGGAATTATATCCAGAAGTAGGAAGTTGATGATTTGGTGACACGTGGCTAGCCATTGTGTGGAGAAAGACTGAGCCCTTTAAGATAGACCTGGTGCAATCAAGTTGGTCCTTTTGGCTTCAAATTATTAAGTGTGTAATGTTTACCTTCGAATAAAAGGTTAACATGATTCACTACTACTGACGCAGTAAATGATGATTTCCCTATTTCTCTCCAGTAATCTTTTGGTAATCAGATAGAAAAAGTGGCCTATAACATGATACAGATCAGAGACAGATCTTATGTGAAATTTACGAATGTTGAAAATAAAGCATATTAAATAAAACAAAAACATAAGGGAACTTGTTACGATGTCTGGCCCAAATAGAGTGTTATTGGGCTTTCATTTATGCTTGCTCACCTGCAACACGGGCTAGTCTATGTTAGAGGGATGTCACGTTGTCTTGTGTTCGCGAAGAGCTTTCTGTATTGTACGTCATGTTGGCGGCTAGCTATGCAGTGTGTTTTACTCATTGCGAACGGTGACATCGTGTATATGATAGAGTTCAGGTACGACATAAATTTAGCTCAGCTGTCAAAGCTGACGAGCGAAAAGGTTTAGAGCGTTGCTTTTCTGCGGTAACTGGGTTTTGAGGGCATAGCGGAAATGTTAACAAATCTGATACCATGGGATGTAGTCTAGACTCTCTCATGGGACCTGGGCTGAAGCTGTTGATGGAGGTGGGGGTGGGGGGGGGGTAGAGGTAGGGCCAGTTCTAGATGTTCTGGGGTCGTTTAAAGCTGTGTCGTTTTGTAACATGCAACAGCGCCACTGATAGCATAGGATACAAGACAACGTAACACCCCTCTAACATAGACTAGCCTGTGTCACAGGTGAGCAAGAATTATGAAAGCCCGTTTGCACACCATTTCTGCCGGGAATCGTAATAAGAACCAACATCACAAAGAAAAATCACTTGAAGAACATTAGACTTTTACTTAAAAAATTACCAAATGAGAAAGTAACGCATACACGCCAATTGTCATAGTTCTGTAAGTTCTGTAGTTGTCAGAAGCAGTTTTCAGTTAACAACAAGTATGTGGAGTATTTTAATATTTGAAAAAGTAAGACATCTTAAAATAACCAATGTTTCGTGGTAAATCTTTTTTCAGTCGTAACTGGGGCTACTGCTTGGATGATCCACCTGGCCATCATGACTTCAAATATCCAGAGTTGCCAGCTGGTACAATGTATGATGCTGATCACCAGTGCAGGCTTTTGTATGGAGAGGGGGCTGAGAGGTGCACTGGTATTGAGGCCTTAGAAGTAAGTATTTGACATGTTATAAGCAAACATTTGAAATGTTATCCTGATTTGGCGAATATGTTGTGGCCTTGCGCCACAGGACCACTACGTTAGCCATGAAGGCCATGCTGGGTCACCTCGAAACGTCTTGGCCAACGGGGCTCTGGTGAAGTTGTGACAGAACTAGCAAGCTGGTAATGGATTTAATACTGCTACAACAAGTACAATGAGATACAAACGGACTGATCAAACGGCATTTGACAATGGCAATGTTAAAGGACTACAAGACAGAAAAGCGAATTACAAGATTTGCAACACATAACAACAAAGGCCTAGGAAATAAAACAGAAGAGGTTATTAAAATAATGGAAAGAAGGAAAATCAAGTCAATGTTGCCAGCTGATGTAAGACACAAGGGACGTGGAATTAAGAATGCACACAGAGACTAGAAGCGTACTTGGCTTGGGAGTTGCGAGTCCGACTCATAATTCCAAAGTACTGCGATTGAAACCCACAGCTGGCTGCGTGGATTTTTATCGTAGTATGGGGCGTCGCAGGTCGTCCCAGCCTGAAATGGGTACCAGTATGTATGTCCTGGAGAAGTAAAGATGCCGGCATTATGCTCACCACATTACCCACCTAGTGCCGATTGGTCTATAAAAATATGGGTGCTCTTCCCATATGCCCGTTGCACCTACAAGTGTAAAAAGGGATCTTTACTTTTACTTTGCTTACACAGAGACTATCTTTTAACATACACAGGAGGAACTAGATCTAAGAATGGAGTGGGTTTCCTGGTGCATCCAGACATAACTTACTACATATTAAACATAATTATAAAGATGACAATTGACCGAGGAGAACAAACAGAAACGTACACACAGATATATGCACTGTGCTATATAGAAGAGCATAAAGATGAATTCTTTGACGTACTGTCTAAAAAGATAAAGTTGAAGTTAACAACATGCGGAGATAGAGAAAGTTAAAGTTAACAACATGCTTTATGTAATGGGAGACTTCACCGAGAGAATGGGTAATAACAGGAGAGAATACGAAGATTGTGGGCCCACAAGCAGCTAAAAACAGTAATAGAAATAGAATTAAATGACGTATCATCACTCCTGTTTATCACCTACATTGACAGTATAAGCAAGGATGCCAGGCTGAGGAAAAAAAATAATAGTAACATCAATGAATTACTCTTTGCTCATGACCAGGCCTTAATTTCAGATACAGCCATAAGTTTGCAACAGCATCTCACGTTTATGAACGAAGAATGTAAATAAAATATATGAGAATCAACATTGAAAATACAGGAGTAATGTCAGTAGGAAGAAAGCAGCAGGATTTAAACATAGCAGTAGAGCATACATATATTAAACACGTTTATGAGTTTACATATCTTGGAAAACATTCACTGGAGATGGTAAATTGGACAAAGAGATTGACATCCGATGCAGTAAAGCAGGCCAAGTCATCACAAAGAGACATAAGAAAATAAGGTGTCGGAGAAAGACTGTAGGAGTGGCCAGAAGAGATAAAATCAGGAATGAGCTCATACGAAATACAGTCTACACAGAATCAATTCTAAATTACATACAAAGACAGCAAATCAAATTGTTTGCTCAATTGGAAAGAATGCCTTCTGATGCTTTACCATACAAGGCATATACAAAAAGAGAAGAGGGACGTAGAACAAGGGGTAGACCAAGAACAAGAAGGGAAGATAAAATCACAGCACTGTACAGCACCACGATGTGCCTATAGTCGAAGCAACCAGAATTCCATTTCCAGTTGTTCAACAAAAAATTCCAAACTTGATCCTTTTTCAGCAGCCCGGAGGCCTGCTATATGAAGAAAGGTTCCTTGACTATCTTTTTTGATTTACTATTCTTTGCACGAAGCAGGACCTTATATCTCCCTCGACATCTAAAGCGGTAAAAGGCGACGTAAACAAAAAAGAGGAATTTACCATTTCCTAACCAAGATATCCCTTATATCCTGTACCCATCTTGCATTAATCTTTCACATTCACTGGTGGTCGTTTTTTATAGACGCAATCGACCACATAGGTTATTGTTTTGGATAACACTGTGAATGATCCCTATTTTAGCGACTAATAGCACTCATCGGTAGCAGTATGCCAGCCATATTTATTTTCCAACATGCATATTGTAAATTAAGTATTTTTTGCATATGTACAGAATGTTTGCACAACTTTGTGGTGCAGAGTAAACAACAAATGTTCTACAAAGCTTCAGCCAGCGGCTGTAGGAACTATATGTGGCATTGATAAGGTTAGTAATTCATGTATAAAGAATGTGAATAATTTGCAAGGTTTTTTTTTTTTTCAGTTTTCTTCTGTAAAACCCTGTCTCTGAGACTCCAAGAGAGAGTTTTTTTTTGCTTACTTATTATCCAGGAATCACTGTCACGTGTTGGAATAAAGGGTAAAGTTAAAGTCCAGAGGATTAACTTTATTGCACCGGATTTTATCCCATATCGCTCGGTCTCTCTCAGCAGATCGGCTAGCCACCTGCCGAGAGCGCCGCACAGAGCACAAACTCCGCAGCTACGGTGCCGATCCACAATGATCTCCATAAAATGTGCACTCGTGAGCTGAATGGCCATGCCGTGAAACGAACATGTGATCTTCAGAGCGCAAGGCAAACGGTTTGACAATTTCGCCACGGAGACCCCCGTGTTAGAATATTTTACGTTAGTCAATCCTCTTCTACCTCGGGTTGCAGATGTTTGCCAGATATAACACTAGATTTCTCTATCTGCATTTATCTTTTTTTGGCTTTGTTTCATTAAAGTCTCCTTCAGTCAGGGACTGTCAGATGTTGTCTTCCCAGTGAGCCCCAGGTCGTCTTGGTGGTCTGGTTTCCTGTTTCTCGGCCTCTCATGCTTGTTTGCCATAATCCTAATTCGTTCTCAGTTTCTTCATTTCTTGTATGGTTGTCAGTGTCACCTTGTCGGAGCAGTTCTTTGAGTTGTTCTTTTTACTGTGACCAGATAGTGGCCTCTTCCAATCTCTGGTCCTCTCAAGACTTTGTCGTCTCTCACAAACTTGAATAAACTTTTCCTCACCATGGCATAGTCAGTGATGGATTACTTATTCTTTGAAGGTTCACATCTTGTATATGCATGTGGGAATTTTGTGTTTGTAATGACAAACTGCAGAATCTAAAAAGTCGCCTGCCATTATCATTCAAACATCTTCACTATATCTCCCGGTTACTTCACCCCATTGAGAGTGATCATTTCCTACTCTGGCATTTAGATCTCAGAGGAGGATAATTTCCCCGTGACAGTCATCTATGGTTCTTTGGAACAGTTCAAGTAATTCTTCTTGACATCTACTAGCTCGTCTGCATTTTGTCCAAATACAGTATTGACAATTGCATCTTCTTCTTTCACATTGTCATGGGATATACAGTTCAGTCAGTCAATCAGGTGGGGTCTCCAAAATGGCGGTTGGCTTCATTGGATATCTGACACTCTCTGCCTCCTGCTTTTGTTGTGCACACTCTCAGACTGCTGTTAGTCCATATTTTGATATTGTCCTCCCACTTGTATCATTGTTTATTTCTTACTCTCCTGCCTCCAAATTTCCCCAAAAAATATTTTTTTAAAAACTGTATTGTCTTTTAATGTGGTTAAAATATTTCAGTCGTCTTCTGTTTAATTCTTTCAAAAGCTGTCTTTTCATTCAAATTCTCTTCAGAACCTCTGTATTTGATTATTTATGTTTCCATAAAATACAGTCGACTTGTCTGTATGTCAATATTTCCAAAGACTGGGTCTGATTTTCTAGCCGCTGATTCATTGTCCAGGTTTCTATAAATTATAGCACAGTTAAGAATAATAACATTTGAAGTTTCTAATTGTTAATGTGTTGTTTATGTCTGTAGCTGTCAATAATTGTTGCATCTTACTGAGATAATTCTAGCACTTCGTATTCTCTTTTTGATTTCTGTTTTACTGCTGCCATCATCTGTTATTACATGTAAAGGACAGGAGAAACTTGTTATTTGTTCTAGAATCTCCTCCATTTAAAATCATTAGAACATGTTTCTCCTGTCTTGGTTACACATTTAAGCAAGGACAATTATCAACAGCATCAAATGACAAAAAATATCAATGCTTATTTCAGTATTGACATTATCCATACAATGTTTTTTATTATCCAGTGGTGTTTTGCTGGGCAGTGTGTTGATATTAGTGACCGACCACAGGCTATAGATGGACAATGGGGTCAATGGGCAGAGTGGACAGACTGTACCAGGACATGTGGGGCAGGAGCCAGTGTCTCAGAGCGCCACTGCAATCATCCACCGTAAGTTAATAAAACTGAGTTGAATTACTTGTGTCACGAAAACGAAAACAATAATTAAACAAGTGATGAGATTTGCTTTTAAAAGTGCAAAAATAAGCAGTTGACAGAAAATAGTTGCAAATATACGTTTACATGCTATAATCATGACTGCACATTGTAAGCATATTTTATGTTTTTCAAAAGTTTTCAACAATAATCACAAGCATGAATAACTATGATGTCTAAACTAAGGATGACTGCAGTAAAGGTTATGTTAGCTAGTTAGATGACATGTCACCATCTGTGTACTTTGAACCATTCAGTCCATAAGTGCTCGGATCCGCTCCTCAGTAAATCCCACACCCTGCAGCGGCCGACAACACCATTTCTGTGATGGTGCATTTTAACAAAAAAAAATCCTGCCTTTTCGAGCCACACCCCTTTTAACTCGCTTTTTCGGGTGTTGGATCATGGCTGAAGATTCAGTCATCACTTGGTGGAGTGAATGTTACACCACAACTAATAAGTACAACATTTAAAAGCTGCAATGAAGCTTAACAATTGGAAAGTAGAAATACATGCATCTACAAGTAAGCATTTCATATCAAGGAATACAATAACAACAAAAATACAATTAAAATATATTAAAGCAAAACATTTGGCCACATATATAAATGAGAATAATGACATGGACAAGACCAACAGTGAAAAATAAGCATATGCTCATTTGGGAGAAATAAGCTAGGAAATATGACTTGTGAAAAAATTAAACCGTCAGGTTTTACAAAAAGGGTAGAAAACTACACATTAAGAAGAATGAGAACCAGTTGCAAATAACATGGGCATAGTATGGGATGAACTACGCAGTATGAAAGGAGGGAAATGCTTGGCTTTGTTGACTGTAGACCTATGTTCCACTGGGAAAATAAAAGACAGAAGAAGAAATCATGCACACGTATACTAATAATCAACTTGACTAAAACATTGGGTAGATTTCACCATAAATTATTGCTTTCATTTTGTGTCAGAACTGTCCAGAAGATGCTCCAAGCTTCAGGACACAGCAGTGTTCCCAGTTTAATGATAATCCAGAATTTCTAATATTTTTTCAAAATTTGAGAGCCACACTTATGTAATGGCTACATGATTGCTTGACAGCGTATTTTTTTTTTTTTTTTACACTCAGATTTTAAAAATGACCTTGGCTTTCATGTCTACCTACCATAAAATGAGTGCCAAGTAAACTTATGGGAAGTAAAGGTGGCTGGCATGATTTTGACCACGTACCCACCGAGTGCAGATTGGTCTATAAAATTCAGTCTGGCATGATGAACCTAATGTGTCTGTAGCAGTATTACCGATTTGCTTATGATTTAACATACTTTGTATCTTTTCTGTTATCATGTTTTTTATTTGAAATGCTGTTCACTTCTGCAGTTATTTATGTTGTTCCTGTTTCTGAATTAGTGTAATATTATGTTTCATAATATAATGTAATGCTATGATTACAACTTTTTGCTATAAATATTTTCTTAGTTATAAATGTGTTAAATCTGGCTTATTAGGCCTAAGAAATACTTGTTTTATCTTTTAATATTAGTCCTTCAAATGGTGGAAAGTACTGTACTGGAGAGAGAAAAAGATACAGAATTTGTAATACTGAGGCAAGTGTTTTAGCTTACTGTAATTCTTTATAAAGAAGAACAGCATGATTTGAATTTGCTACTTAACGCCGTTACTATTTCATACAATACCGTGTTTAATTTTTAATAGTTCGCTTAGAAATAAATTCTGAATTACCCAGTACTTTAACATTTTATTGTACAATGTTGCAAATCATTAATTATTTTTGTCATTACAGGTTTATAATATTCATGGATCTGTTGTTTTTTCGCTGTTGTGATTTCTATCATTTTTTTTCTCATGTTTTGTGTATGTTTTGTTATTGCTTATTGACTCTCTTCTCTCTCATCAGATATATCTGTGTGTGCATATGTTTATGTGTGTGTACATGCTTGTGACTGTAAATTGAAGTATTTTTGTCTGTCTTAAGTTTTCCCTGCATATTAATGCATTGCATGTGCACATAATGTCTTTCCACTTTCTGTCTACCTTTATTGGTATCTTTCTAGATGGCATTTTTTATTTTTCATTATGATGGCATAATAATCCCAGCCAATTGAGGTCAGGGGTCAAGTTCCCCCTTTCCACACTACACAGATTAGGCAGTAACGCCAGATTATATGAAGCCCATGCAGAATGATAACTCCGTCTGACTGATTTTGGCGCCTAAAAAGAGACATTGGAAAAAACAACGTGTAATCAAAGAACTAAACAACAATGAGAAAAACATAAAGTATTTTCTAGCCTTACATGTTCATTACGATAGACCAGATGAACCTGTAATGATGGAATATAATTGATGTTTTTCAAGTCTGTTTTTTTTAGACTGGCATAGCTTTACTGTAGACAAACTGAACCTGTAAAGCTGACATAAACTTTATTTTTCCAGTCTTTTTTAGACTTTACTGTAGTCATCTTATTTCAAATAATAATATAACTAGAATATTTGTGTACTGGAAACCGTCAGGTTTTACAAAAAGGGTAGAAAACTACACATTAAGAAGAATGAGAACCAGATGCAAATATCATGGGCATAGTATGGGATGAACTACGCTGTATGAAAGGAGGGAAATGCTTGGCTTTGTTGACTGTAGACCTATGTTCCACTGGGAAAATAAAAGACAGAAGAAGAAATCATGTACACGTGTACTAATAATTAACTAGACTAAAACATTGGGTAGATTTCACTAGTTGGCCATAAATTATTGCTTTCATTTTGTTCCAGAACTGCCCAGAAAATGCTCCAAGCTTCAGGGCACAGCAGTGTTCCCAGTTTAATGATATTCCATATAAAGGATCTCAGTATGAATGGCAGCCTCTGTCAACGCCAGGTATACAAACCGTCATTACCGTCAATTAATTTAGCCATTGAGCTGGTTGTGAAGATTCCATCCTTTCTGTTTCATAGATATATCTTGTGTCACCCCCTTTAATTCTTTTTATCTCTGTGAAGAAAGTAATGCATTTTTGTTTAATTTAAGTCTTTTCTTGATCTAGACCTTCCTCGTGTCCATGTTATGTTTTACTCTTCTTATTCTTATGGTCAATGGATTGTGTAGCATGAACATCTGTTGACTGTCTGTGATTGACTGTGGAAGATCCAGATTTGCTCTTTATAGCTATTTTTCGAATTAGTTAAGGGAGATATATCTCTATATTTTTTGAGTCTAGAGAGAGCATTTCACTCTCTCTCTATACTCTTTGTTATGTGTATGAATCCATGACTGTATTTTACTGACTCTGCTTGCCTAGTACTATCCTGTATAAATCAAATGTTACTATTCCACAATTTCTGTTGATATGCTCCACAAATTTAATTATACATTACAATAGTTAAGAGATAATAAGATCTCATGTCATAGATGAGCAACAGTTAAATACAAGAAAACATTTTTGAAATATTGCAATGAAGGGTAAACAATAAAATACAGACAGTCAAGTAAAAAAAAAATTATGAACTTGACCTTTATATGTTTTGAAAAGAAAATCTAAGAAATTTGTGACAAATAGCATCTCTTGGAAAAACGGGGTTTAAATGGGGGGAGGGGGAGGAGGAATAACTGCCTGGATGGCTGGGTCACATTTCAGTGATGGAAGAAAACACAGATCTGATGTGAGGCTAGTAATTAGGTGAGATGATGAACCATGCTTACATAAGCTTATCATCATTACTCATGTTTTAAGCTCTCTATGAATAGTACTAGTACATTTTATGACGTGTTTGCAACCAACAGATAAACCTTGCCAGCTCCACTGCAAACCAACAAACTTCTATTTTTCTGTACTGTTAAAAGATATTGTCACTGATGGTACACCCTGTGTTATTGGTTCCCGACATATTTGTATCAGTGGCAGGTGTAGGGTAAGTGAAGAACTGTGATTGTTTCATTCGTGTACAGTCCATTACCTTTTGTTTCATGTGTGATTTATAGTAGGTATCTGCGGTTTATGAATTATGAAGGCAATGTTATAATTCCAATAAACTTTGTTTAAGTTCATCTGCTGGCGATCTGGCCACAAACTGCTTTGCTCTGATCTCAACACTGGGTATGAGAACCAGCAGTTAAGGGGCAGTTGCAGGCTACTAAATGTAAACATTGTCTAGTAAAACCATAAACAGTCAACAAATCTTGGGACTGATTTGAGGGCATCCTGTAAAAACATAGAACTGACTTTATATAAATAATGTATGCAAACACGTCTTCTTCTTATCAGTCATCTCCTTGCGGGATGCAATTTTTCGTTATTTTGAAGCCCCACCCTGGCTCTTTCCAGGGGCTGCAATATAACCCGGCTATAAATATGGTCTAATCGCTAAACGCGTTTTCCGAGACCTCTCAACGGGTGATCCTTATCAACATGGTGGCCCTTTGTGTCATCGGGTGTTTATCGCTTGTGTGATGTCTTGGTGGGGTAAAAGTACTACTACTACTAACTTCTTCTTCTCTTCTTCACATTTTGAGCTGTAAACTTCAGTGCAAAGCTCTGGATGTTTGTCAGTTCTGGCCTTTAGACTTGTTCAACTTAGGTCTTTCATGCACATCTGTTTTACATATCAGGCTTATTTATTTGCAGACTTTTGGTTTCTAATTTTTCATGCAGCCCCCCCCCCCCTCCCCCACCATCCTCCCAACTTCAATCGAAACACCCCTAACAAATCGACTATTAAACCATGTTTGCTTGTTAGAGAATAGTAGGTCTGTTCTCTTTAAATGGAGCCCAGAGGCCCACAAGTGAAGGAGTTTAGACATACAACCATAAAACAACCTCCCAGCCAGATTTTTTAAGGGCCAACACAGGGGAAGAAGAAAACAAACATACAGTTTCTCTGATCTGTATATAATTTCTAAATCAATGAAGTCGAAGCTCAGAAGTTACCAAAATTATTTGGAAATTAGAAATTACCAAAGAGTATAAAAATAATGTTATCTTGGATGGAATCATATTTGTTAGATAAGGGGAGGAAAACTGCAATATCTTTCCAGTAAATGCAGAACTTTGATATGAGGCGTGAGAATTTTCTCAACAACAGCTTCATTCCAATAAAAATAAACCGTTTTCAGACACCAAGCAACCTGGATGCTCATGCACTGGCCTCAAGAGTTGAATCTCACAGTAACTGACCTCTGTTTGATCTATTGACAACAAAATTCTTAAAACTCTAAATCTTCTGTGACATTCCATCATGCATCTCCTCATATATTAGGTTGTAGTACTGGTCTCATACACTTCTTTGGCTTCTGAGCTAAGATAGAGGAGGCAAATCTCTGCAACCCAATCCCTCAAAAATGGTACCTTATCCGTGAATTAGTTGACTTGTCGATATTCTTCTTTCTTTAAATTGTTGTTCTCTTCTCTGTCTTGCAACCTAAAAATCTGACCACTCTGAGATTACAAAATCACAGGTGGGATGGCTATCTAACAGGGTAATCCCACATACACCATTCAATCTCAGAAGAAGATATGTCTACATTAGTCTTACTCTCATAGATGCAAATCCTTGTTAGGCCTCAGAGGAGCTGGACACTAGTGAAGTGTACTTAACAGTTACACCTGTAGCCTCCCAAATAATTCACAAGAAAAAACAGTAACAACATTTCTACATATGTAAGAGTAAAAAGTCAAGGTCTCTTTTCCACGCCTTAGGGTGTTTTGGGAGTAGAGGGCTAGACCTATATTTTTTATAGACCAATTGGCACTTTGGTGGGTGATGTGGACTGCACCTGGTACCCACTGAAGGTTGGGTCCACCTGGGTGTCAAGGTCAGTTTTGAAGAAAAAAAAAAGTCCGGCTCAGCCAGGGTTCTACATTTGTGTTGCTCATAAATTAAATACATGCTGTTAAGTAAGTAAAGAGGTGAATGACCCTTTACGAGTATGGAGCATTGTACACATGATACAACTCACAATTGTATATACCCATCAGCATTCAGTGGGTGATGTGGTGAACATCACGATGACTGCCTTTACTTTCTATAACATTATTTATTACCTATTTAGACCTGGAAGCCAAGGTCAATGTTTAAAAACAACATAAACATCTGCTACAATGTGGCTACTAACAAGAGACATTCAGGCCCACAGATGAGTGTCAAGCCGCTATGTTACTGCAGCCTACTTGCTATGCTTTCCTGTTTTTGTTTGTCTATTTTTTTACTAACAAATCTGATTACATCAAACAGAACCTAAGGTAAACATTTTATTATTTCTCCATATTATATTTCAGCATGTTGGCTGTGATTGGATTATTGACTCTAATGCTGTCGAAGACAGGTGCGGTGTATGTTTTGGTGATGGATCTACATGTAAAACAATCAAACAGCAGTTCAATGAGACCAAACAACAAGGTCGTTACTTTTATCCTTGCATGACAACATATTTGTATTCCTTGGTAAATTGTGTATAATCTTTCATTTTATTCACATTCTCTGCCTAGAAATCTTAGTGACACAGTAATTAATGTACTGGCCTATTAGGACATTAATCTGGGTTCAATCCTAGTCAGAGACCCGAAATTTTTTTTTAAAACTATTATTACCACAGTCATAAAAGACATCTCACCCCCCCCCCACCCCCACCCCCTCCTCCCATTAATCCTCCTGTAGAGCAAGGTTGCTTACCGAACTGACATCAAGCATCATTATATCTACAAATCCCTGCAGAGCATCCCAAATTGTCTATCTCTGTCTCTGATTCACTTTTCTGCATGTTTTCTTTTTTATCTTGTATTTTCCCTGGTGGATTCCAGTAAAAAAACAATGTAGTTTGTTTTCAAATTTGTGCCGATATTTAATAAAATACCACAGCTGTATTGAAATATAAAAGAATGAAATTGTATATTCATTTTTACTTTTATCTTAACGTTATGTCACTTTTTTTTGCCTTTATAAAAAGTAATTAGACTGCACTTTTGTTTATTTGAGATATGTGAAAATACAATGATCCTTGCTGGGAAACATTAAGAGTAATACGGCAAACATGTGTAATATAATAGATCGATCTTTTCTTGTATTTTTATAGAAATTCTGAATGAAAGCACAACTGTTGCACTGAAACACAGCCCCACCCCAGCCCCTTTCTTTCCCAAATTAGATGGTGAAAGCGTTAAAAATCTATTAAAACCAAGAGGAATTCTTTGATTGTCTTTCATTTTATGTTCTCAGTGTGCAGTTTATCTTCTACAGTCATCCTTTAAATGTCTTTTCATGTAATTACTGGTGCATGTATTCATTTTGCTGCAGTATCAACTACTGAAAAAAAAAATATGTTACAATGTATGTCTTTACCTGCAGGCTACGTTGAGGCAACAGTAATTCCTGCAGGAGCTCGTAACATTCGTGTTGAAGAGGTGGCTGAGGCCAGCAACTTTCTGGCACTGAAAAATGAAGCTGGGGAATATTATCTTAATGGGGACTGGTTTATACAGGTCAGTGGCACCTGACAGATATTTAATTAAATGTATCTGTTTTATACTTCGCAAAGATTTTGTTCTTATCTTTAAGATGAAAAAAACCCCAGACAAATCATTACTGTGTTCAAATTGGTGCTGTATATGTATGTCACCATTTTATTCAAGTTTTCTGTCATTTGTTTGCCATTACAACATTTTTTATTCTGTTTTGCAAAGGATCGGTTAATCATTAAATTTCTAATTATGTTTTTTTTCGCTTATAATGGTCTGTAACATAAACGATTTCGTTCTGATTCTTTTTCTGCCCTTTGTTGCCCAATGGAGCATAGGTCCTTAACTAACTCAAGCTGTTATATTCTTTGCTATCGGCATACAGCTCACACCATGTCCTCCTTATCTTTTTAATCTCACTCTCAAGTTCCTTTATCTATTGTTGTTTAGATCTGCTTTTGTTTATATGTCGCTGTGGGAACATTCTAAAGATCTTATTTCAAAATTGGTGGGCCGACCTGGGTCATGAAGTCAGGCCCTATCTTCAACGGACTCTTTGCAGCAGGTCCTGTGAGATTTGGTGTTCTTTTATCGCTGCGGTAGCAATTAGAACAGTTGACTACCTTTACGACCGTATTGACACTCTAATGGTTGGTTCATCGGACAATTGTTAAACTTTGGTATTAGCCAGAAATACAGCAGCAGACATTTATCGGACATTTTGGCTTTTAGGGGATAAGATGTTCTTTTCCAATTAGGGACACCGAACAATCACCGAGGCCCTTCTCCCAAAACAGTCCGTTGCATCCAGAGCCAGCTTGAAGCACTTTCAGCAGCTTCGTCCAGTTGTTTTAGTGACCGTTTACGCTCGTTTCCTCGAAAGCCTAGCTGCTTTAGCACATTGTACGTAGAAGTGGAAACAATAACTACCTCGGCGGCAAAGATTTTTACTGCGTACGCTTCATCTTTTCTCAGACCGGTCACCAGCTCATCGTATTTTTTGAGCTTTTACAGGGGATTTTTCCCCATCCGCGACTCATACGGCACAGTCTGCTCTATCCGGACGATCTGTCGTTTTTCTGTAGATTGCAGAACTATGTCTTCCGGATTGACTCTGGGTACCTCTCGAAACCGGGCAAGTCGACAGCCAGTAAACACTCCCTCGCATAGTCAAGTATTGATGGAGCGTATAAATATGCCCAACCGCATCGGGGTGACGGTAGGGCTGGCCCCTGCGTTGGCCATCATCCTAGCTATTTCCACAAATTCAATCATCTTCACTGCCCATTATGATAGTTGTGTCATCCATAAATGCATGCAGTGGCGGTATCTAGTGGTCCCCAGTATTGAAGCCTTGCCCGTAGCAGCAGCCCCGTCTAACATGACCTGCATGGCCATAACAAAACAGTATTGGCGAGATTGTTCATCCCATTACTATCTGTACTGGAGATCCAATGCTGTCGACCTTTATTAACATGGCAAATTATCCAGTTTGACATCAGCGTCTAGGCAAGGAAAATAAATTGTTTATTGTGCAACAGGATTTACACATAGTGATACAACCGCCATATTAAAGAAGGTTGGCTCATGCAACATATGCCTGCAGATGGTCTGCCGAATGGAGCAAATATCGCAACCTTGTTGTAAATGGGTGTTAAAAACACATTAAAGTCTTTGGATCAACACAGAAAAAGAAAAAGACAACCACTTTATTACCCAACATACACTTAAATGAGAAAATAATGGACTGAAGAAATGATGATGTCAAAAAAAAGAAACTCTAAGACCAATATTGATGAAAGTGGACAAAGGTTTTGAACTGGATTATATGCTTCATGTTGTTACACAGGATAGAATGCAATGGATTTGTAAACTGTCAGCCCTATATGCTGTATGACAGCACACCATGATGATGATGGATGATGATGATGGATGATGATAATGATGAACTGTCATAGCTTTAGGACTGCTCCCAACCAATTTTCTGAAATTGTTCACTGCTTCATTGACTTGCAGATATGAATATGTGTGATTGTAGAGTTACTACCACTGTTTTAATATTGTCGAAGAAGGAGTACAGTGCATGCTACTGTATGTTCAATACATTACAATGCATTTTACTGTATGTTCTATACATTACAATGCATTCTACTGTATGTTCAATACATTACAATGCATTATACTGTATGTTCAATACATTACAATGCATTCTACTGTATGTTCTATACATTACAATGCATTATACTGTATGTTCAATACATTACAATGCATTATACTGTATGTTCAATACATTACAATGCATTCTACTGTATGTTCTATACATTACAATGCATTATACTGTATGTTCAATACATTACAATGCATTATACTGTATGTTCAATACATTACAATGCATTCTACTATATGTTCTATACATTACAATGTATTCTACTGTATGTTCTATACATTACAATGCATTCTACTGTATGTTCAATACATTACAATGCATTATATTGTATGTACCATACATAACAATGCATTCTACTGTACGTTCGATACATTCTACTGTAAGTTGATGTCGATTTTTCTCATTGACATTTTACAGTGGTCTGGTGATTATGAAATGGCAGGCACTGTAATTCATTACAAACGGACTGGAAATAAAGAAAAATTCCTTGCACCTGGGCCCCTAAAAGAACCTCTGCATATTATGGTTAGTTTGTTTATAGTCATGTGTGAATATGTGTTATGACTGATTATTACTACCAACGATTTATTGTTTTCATCCATATCTAAATTATTAATCTTATAATGTTATTTATATATCATAACATGTCACCTGTTTCTGAAACCTTACTGGAGACACTTAAATTACATAAGGCTATGGATCTCTCTTAGGTGTTGCGAACTTGCTTCGTAATGGCGGGGTCCCGGGTTCGATCCTAGCTGCGGGCCTTGCGTTGGTTTTGAAAGTGGTATCGAGAGCCAGCCGTCTAGAAAGCTATGGCAAACTATTAGATGTAAATTTGCCTAAAAAAACCGCAACTGCCAAAAAAAAATACTGGGTTGGTTCTGGAACATCCTGTAAAGATACGCAATTAACTTTTTTCGGTTTCAAAGATTTTATAAGAAAATCTTTATTTGCTAAATTAAAGATTGTCATAAAATCTCTAACCATTTGCTGTGTTGTAGGGAGGAAAACTGCATGAAAATTATCCCCATGGTTTCCAGATTTAATTGATATACACTGACCAAAACTTACATTAGGATCACACTCGATGTGGTGTGTCAGACCTGTGGGGAATAGTAACACATCATGCATTGTTTGGGACTGAAAACGAAAAACTGAAAAACTGCATCCATACTATGCTGTATAGGTCCCCCCAAGCCTCCCCCCCCCCCCCCCCCCCCAACTCTCACCTTTGTGAATCCCCGTTGTTTTGCATTTCGGCTTATTTTTTTAAACTGTCTTGTAAACAATTTAATTTCAAGTTGACTGTTGTCAGGGAGTTAAGAACCTTAGAAAATAAAAATGTTATCCTAATTTGAAATAGGAAAAAATTAGATAAATCAATTTTACATGAATGTATGTGCGTCTAGTTAGAATAATGCATTATTGTATATTCTCCTGAGTGCTTCAAGAATGAATGTTTATGGTATAAGTTAGGATATATTTTACACTTTATTTTAAAGGTATCATTTTTTAAACCCTGTGCCCTCACATTATAATAGACAAATTGATGATCAGTGGATAATGTCATCAGTATCATGTATTCTTAGCGTTCCAGAAGATATATGGTACCGATGTTAGATGGGGTTGATCGATCATGAGTCAATTACACCTAAAGAAAATCCACCTTGACAAGGACTCAAATCTATGACCCCTGAGTTTGCATTCAAGCATTCTAGTCACTGCTTTATAGCCGCATTCTCTAATGTCTATTACAATGAATACAGGCTTTATTTGGCTGTGTGTGATGGTACAAAAACCAGCACCTTTTGAAAGGCATCATTTTTGTTATTGCTACTGTAATAGACAGTGTTTTGGGTATTGGCACTTTTCAGAAATGTTAATTTTTGGACAGAAAAAAAAAACAGCACTGCATTAAATACATTTTAATCAATGATAACTTAATGAAACAATCATGACATTTAACCATTCCTAGTTACTGATGCAAAGTCATAACCCAGGTGTGGAGTTTGAGTACACAGTTCCTAATGAAAATGCAGCCAACAGCAAGAAGTTAGAATTTAGCTGGGATTACATTGGGTGGTCACATTGCACTGTTTCATGTGGTAGAGGTAAGAGTTGAGTTTCAGTCATCAACAAAATAATTGAATAAAAGAAATAATATCTTACAGATAGAGTGTGTTTTCATATAAAATAGTGATTTCCCCCAAATCTCCTTGTGAATATTTTCTATGTCTAATATAGTCAAACACTTACATTCTTTTTATTTTTTACTAATATTGAACTCATCGTGAAGCAGGTCCTGTACAAAATATCACTCTCATCACAGTGCCTAGAAAACAACATACACACACAAAATCTCAGTCTCTGATCATCTTTCCCGCCTTGTGCACTTTTCTACCCAAGGTGGAACTTATATACTGTACCCATCTTCATGCTGGTCTGCCCCTGCTGATCGTTTTTGGTACCATGCCTTCTGCTATTATTCTTTTCAATCCACTGTACCGCTCGATAAGGACAATATGTTGTTTACTAGCCAATCTTTCTTGATGTTTAGATCTTTTAGAATGTCAGTATTTCTTTTCTTCTTGGTCCATGGTATTCTAAGACTAATTCTTTAGTATTTTAGCTCAAAATCCCCTTCTGTCTTGCTTAAGGGGTCAGAGGTAATCCATGACTCACATGCTCTCAACATATTGACTCTCTTCTTCTTTTCAGTTGTGCAAAATAGAGAATCATTTAAAAAGACTTGTTCCTTATTAGTCTTACGTTACAACATTGCAGTATGGGAGGCACATTTTCTTTATTTTAAAGCCTCACCCTAGCAGTTGTTGGGGGTTCATATATATCCTAACCTATGGGTTGAACGGGGTTTCTGAGACTTGTGCCTGGGTGATCCTCATCTTAATGGTGGTACTTTCATTCAACGGGTGTTGGTTGCTCATTGTACGGTCCTGGTGGGGTTGAACAATATCGACGTTCTCAGTCTTGATCTTCTTTTAAAACATTTTCAAATACCACACGAATGCTTAGTGAGCAAAAGTTTGTAATACATGTTCCAGGCTTCCATTAGGTTTTTAATTAGCATAATTTTGATCTCTTTCCAATGCGTTGTTCATATGAGATCATCACAATCGTTGTCCTTTTACACTGGGCAGTGCCACATGCACAGTTTGTTAGTCTTGGCGTACAGTGTGGTCAGCAGTCATTTTGTTCAAAAGAGATCAACATTGATTCAGAATTTCAATGTTTAACTATATACAGATTGAACTAAGTTCATTGAATTCAGTGGGAAGCACAGTTGCTAGATGCTCTACTGCGGATTAGAAAGTAATGTGTTCGGAATACCCTGAAATGGACACTTTTCCACCAGGGACTGACCAGGATTGAGATGGACACAGGAGTGAGACTTGGGTTGGAAGTACATGAGGTGGAAGATCTGGCGATAGTCCGAGTTTCTTTCAGGTGGGCTGTAATGAGAGCAATGTTTTGCAAAAGACCTGCTAAACGAGGATCGTATTCTCGGTGTATATAGTAAAGTAAAAGTAAAGGTCCCCTTTTCCACCCCTTTTGGCGTATTAGGAATATAGGGCTATACCTATATTTTTATAGACCAATCAGCACTTGGGTAATGTGGTCAGCATCACGCCGGCCGTCTTTACTGCTGATTGCTGCACCTGGAACCCACTCAAGGCTAGGTCGGCCTGGAAGTCAAAGTCATATTTGAAAAAAAAAAAGCCAGATCCATCAGGATGCGAACCCTCCACCTTCAGATCCACAGGCGGATGTCTAGCCGCCAACGAAATGGTGACTCCCCATTCTAAGTGTATATACATACACATTTTGTATACAGTATATTCATTTCTTTCAGCCACAGGTTAAGAATACTTTTTTTTTCTAAGTATAAGGCATTTTTCCACACCTTTAGGTCTATTAGGAATACAGTGCTAGGTCTACATTTTATAGACCAATTTGCACTCTGTGGGTTGTGTTGTCAACATCACTTCAGCCGCCTTTGCTTGCCAGGACTTTACCTGTACCCATTCAAGGCTGGGTCAACCTGGGAGCCAAAGTCATTTTAAAACAAAAGTCCGGCTCCATTTGGATTTAAATCCACAATCTTCAGATCCAAAGGCGAGCATCTAGCTGCAATACCATGGTGGCTCACAAAAAGACATTTAATACATTACATTACTGTATGAATTAAAATGAAAAAACAAATGAGTATATCAGACAAGTTACATACGGACAATATTTGCCAATGTTATTAATATATATTATTGCTGGTTTTTTTTTATTACTACAGGAACACAGAGATCTGCTGTTGTCTGCAAAGAACAAGAAGCAGGGCTTGTAGATGAATCAAACTGTGACCAGGCTACAAAACCTGATGACCAACTCCAAGAATGCAATATCCATTTGTGTCCAGCTAGGTATACACATTGAAACTCATATGTCGTTTGCATAAACATGTATACCAGATTGGATCCTTTACATCTGTGGCTAACCTAAAGACTCAGTTTTGGGGGGGAAAGTGTGTTGAGGAAAAAAATAAAATCCCAACCTGAAGTCTATTTCGACTGCACTAGCCATGTGTCTCTAACTCAACAGGTTCAAGGATCTTCCAGTTCACCCCCTGTAAATCAGTATTGTGAAGAAAAGATGGTTTTAATTTTGTATAATAATATAGATGTTATTTTGTAGTAAATATTTTACAAAATATATAAATCCATCTTATTTTATTGTGAACTTGCTTAAGGGAATTGTATTTTTGTAAATTACAAATATCCCTTATTATTCTGCTTGTAAATATTTAACAATTTCTCAACAGATGGTGGACTGGCCCATGGCAGCATTGCTCAGTAACATGTGGTGATAATGGCACCCATCACAGAACAGTCATCTGTATTCGCAGTCTTGGATCTGACGAGCAGATTGCTCTGGAGGATCAGGCCTGTGAAAGCTTAGACAAGCCTGTTGAAATGGAGCCATGTCAGCACAAAAATCCATGCCCTGGGCTTGGTGTCTGGGAGGTGGAGGAATGGAGCAATGTAAGTTTGAGTTGATTCTTTCTATAAACATTCTGAAGTCTGACCTGTATATAAATTAAAGCCACTTATATGTTTTAAAGATAAGTTAAGATAAAGTCAGTTACAACAATAACTGATAAATTTGTGAAGATCCAATACCTGTTGAAAAAACATACATTTAGTAGACAGCTAAACAAGGATAACATCAAAAACAAGTAGACACTGGGATCAGTTAGAAAAGTACAAAGCATTTTCGTCTTCACCAGTCCTAGCCCTTTGGGTTTATTTCTGCATATAACATCCACCTCTGTCCTCTTCGTAATTGGTTTTCTCTTTCTACTTGTTGACTCAGCGGCGACACTGGCTTAGGTGTTGCGAGTCCGACTTGTAATTCCAGCATACCGTGATCGAAACCCACTGCTGCCTGCATGGATTTTTATCATGGTATGGGTCGTCGCAGGTCGACCCATCTTGACATGGGTACCAGGATGTATGTCCTGGGGAAGTAAAGACAGCCGGCATAATGCTGACCACATTACCCAACTAGTGTCGATTGGTCTGTAAAAATTTCGGTGCTCTTCCCATATGCCTAATGCGCCTAAGGTGTGAAAAGGGATCTTTACTTTTTTTTTTTTATAAATTGGTGACTCAGTGTGTTTGTAGGCTGCCTGACTATTATAAGTCCACAGGCCGCTTGGTCTGCCTCATGGTCTACTCTCATGCATGTGTAGTTTTTCTCTCTCTATAGTATGTCACTCTCACTATATGCCACAACCATTGCAGTCTGTTAGCATAGAAACGATTGAACAACATATTGTACCTCAGAGTAACAATTCTCATAATGTAACTAAAAGCTGAAAAATTAAGACTAACGGAAATGGAAACAGATTATTTTGGCAGGAGCTCTAAAAGTTATTGACCATGTTTATGAATGATAATTCTGCAACTGTGATGAGTGTTTTTTTTTTCTTCTGCAGTGCACCAGACCTTGTAATGGTGGAGTGCAGTACAGGAAAGTCATATGTGTCAGAGAGGACAAATGTAGTGATGAAAAACCAACCATGAAGAGGGTATGCAACATTCAGAAATGCACAGACAACCAAGAGAGAGAAATATATAATATATCAGAAGAAAGCTTAGAAACAGCCAATAATGCTTTCCCTTCTGACCTTTCACATTCATCATTACCTGCATCACCTATATCTACCAGTATTAGCAATGATATACCTCAGACTGACAGTAATGACAAGATTCTCAGTGAAGTATCCAGTCATTACTTCAGAAAGGATGATCTAAACATGTTTAGCCACATAAATTCACTGAACAGCAATGTTCTCAAATACAAACATCAAAATGATCCTAACAAAAGCAGTTCTGTGACAAGTTCTGCATTGAATGATCTCCTTAACAACATAAGTAGAAAAGGCCCAGAACAAACAAACTGGCTAAATCCTGAGAACTCAAGTGTGGGCAGTTTGCCAGATGAGCTACAGAATAAAGAAGAGAATTCACAGTATACTTGGCAAACTTTTGACTGGAGCAAGGTAAGAATGTATCAGTTTATTAACTCTTTAATTAAAGATTGTTGCTACTTAAAGAAAATATTACATGCTTAAGTAGTAGTAGTAGTAGTAGTTGTTGTAAACATATGCTGTTAACTCAAACGGAAAGCTATGGTTGTTTGTCCACCTTCTGACTTCAGTCTTGTTCCAGAATCTGTGTGTTTGAATGCACATCCGTTTTACAGATCTGACTTTTTTGTGAACAGACTGTTGGTTCCTTCCTTCTCAGGCAGATGCACGTCTTTAAAGGATTTCTTCAATTATTCAACTCCTACAACATGCATGTTGGGAAAGCAGTGGGTCTGTGCTTGTTTTCCCGAAAATGGGACCCAAGATTCCACCTTGGGAATATGCCTTTCAAGCCACCTAGGTTATAATTAGTGAGATACATTTTTTTTTCTACTTCAGTGTTGTAAGTTTATATTTGTCAATTATTTATTGTTTACCTAATATTGGACAGATTATAAATTTATTGTAACAGATTTTAGAAGTGTGGATTTTTTTTTAAGTTTAATTTATTTTAAGTGTACTTAATAAATAATTGTGACAATCATTTTGTGTAGTATATCCTTGTGAATATTTAAAGTGATCTGGAAAACCATTATTCTTTCTTATGGCATATTTACACCTGGTATCTTAACCTTTGTTTTTGTGATGTTTCCATGTGGTTCTCCACAGCTTTCTATCTAAAGTATGCATTCTACTATCATATGCTTATTGTGTAAAGCTAAATGTATTACATAATAGACATGAGACAAAAGAATTTCAAATTAAAATTTAGATTAGTGTAATAGTGTAGCATTTATTTGTTATATAATAATGTTAAAAAAATATTTTGTCTTTAGAGTGACCAAGAAATTTATAGTGATTGCTTGGTACCCCAGAGTTAAATTATCTATACAACTGTACATCTTTGATCATTTTGAAAATGAAGTAATAATTTATTTATATTTTTCATTCAGCAAAAATTCAGTTAAGGAAGGAACGTCCATAGAAGAAAAAAAACCTGGTTTCCAGGAAATCGGGATTTCATCTGCATAATCTGATCAAATGCTAAGTGTTAGAGAACTCATCATGCAGAAGTCAGAATTCATGAGAGTTAACACATTCTGTGCTGCCTTGTACTGAAAGAATTACAATTATTCATTTAATGAAAATAAACTAATAAGAAGAGGTATATGAACAATCTTCTGTGGACAAATTACATTGTTTCGGCGTACAGTAGATAATGTAAGAATTATGCTAATACTAATGATGTGTAAGAAAAAGGCTAGGACCAATGATTTTATGAACATAATAATTATACAAAATACGTACAAAATACGTACAAAATTATAACTTATTTTATTCCTTGGTTTTAATTAAAATGTTATGTTTACCACTGGTATAATTTTGGCAAGTGAGTGTACATAAATATTATTTTGTGTCTAAGAAATAAAAAAAAACACATGGTAAGTTTATAATGCTACTGATAGACTATTTAACTTTTATTGTTTTTACAAAATGCACACACAAAATGAAAACTATTTTATTGTGGTTAAAATGATCAGTGTTCAGCTACATGTGGACATGCCATGCAGTTCCGTAAAGTTGTCTGCACAAAGCCAGGATATTGTGACTTATCAAGTAAACCAGAGTCCACCAGGTTGTGTGACGACCTCAGTCCTTGTTTTGCATGGATCCATGGAGACTGGAGCAAGGTAATGACAGGAATAAAGCACAATTTAGTCATGTCAATACATACAAGGATAGATATATGTGTGTTGGTGTAGATATTCCCCATGTGTATGTATGTGCATGTGTCACATGTTCATGTGAGATGTGGGTGTGTGTGGGTGGTGGGGATTTCATTTCTTTTACATTGTTAATTTTCTACATTATTAATTTAGAGTACTGACCACTTTTAGTTTTTATGTGAAACCTAATGTCTTAAGTGAGAAAGTATTTCATGCTCATGAACATTTTTTTATCAGCTCCCATTCCCAATTTGACTTCTGAGACTTTATCTGCCTCCCATCTGCAATCATCTGTTATTACTTACCCTATATAGGAAAAAACTACTGATTTGTTCCAGTGTAATTTCCGTCACCTGACTTTCCAAAACTGGGTTCAACTATTTTATGGGTTGGTACGAAAAATCATAGATTTGTGTGTGTGTGTATGACTTTACTGTCTGTGTGGCAAAGTAGTCACACCATCTGCCTCACATTCTGAAGGTCATGGGTTCATTTCACGGGTGAGTATCTGAAGGGTGTAATTTTAATAGCAAATAGTGGTTCTTGTCACTGGTGCTGCAAATTACATGCTTAGTGTGACGCTCTCTGCGGTGGTCGGGTGAATAGTCATTCATACAGAGAGAGAGAGCAAGAGAGAGAGAGCTAAATGGGATATGAAGCTAATGCCATAATTTGTATTGACCGGTTAGTACTTAATTATGAGATGTCATTCACAAGCTGGTCTTAGTTCCCTTAAATTTCCTAGTTCTTTACTTATCATAAATCAGCTTGGATGCTCAGGTCAATTTTCACAAATGGGCTCCTGGTTAGGGATGAAAACACATGATCACCAGCCTAGCAGGATCGCATGCTAGCTACTACATTACCAAGTACATTTCTAAACATTACCGCTCTGCCTTGGAGAGAAAAAGTCAACTAATATGTCATCATCATCAATTATCATCATCAACTGCCACTTCTGCTATTACGCACCATGGAGAGAAAGGGTTTTGTGCTCCATTGCTCGATAGAAGCACTTGTAACTGACACCCAGCGCTCACTATCTTCTCCTTTGTGCTCTCTTGCTTTCACACTTGAAGCACTTTTCTGGTGGTAGTAGTAGTAGATTTTTACCCCACTAGGACATCACACAAGCGATAAACACCCAATGACACAAAGTGCCACCATGTGGTGAGAATCACTGTGGAGAGGTCCCAGAAACCGCGTTCAGCCATTAGACCATATTTATGGTCGGGCTATATTGCGGCCCCTGGCAAGAGCCAGGGTGGGGCTTCAAATAACGAAAAATTGCATCTCACAAGGAGATGACTATTGGATTATTGTCTGGTGATAATTATAACTACATTTTATTGAGTTGATTGACCATTTTATCTCGTGATTTTCAATTATTTAATGCAAGGTGTTGTTTACATAATCTCTCTGATAATATCATTTCTCACTGTCTCGGATGGTCAAGTAGGCAGCCTTCCTCAAATATTTCATTTAATCTATGCTGATCTTATGTAAGTTAGCCATTCATAGTGTCAAGGTTACTCGTAGTGAATGTGTGCTTATGGTATATAAACTTGTTTGCAACCATTGGTTTGTGAGCAATAATTACATATCAGTGGCTCTTGCAAGCGAAAAAAATTTTGTTATTTTTTAGTTATTGTTTTTTTTAATTTCCACTTTGTTTATCTATGTCCACACAAATATTGTATTTCTAACCTAATTTTTTTTAATGTGTTAGGCTTCTTTATGTTTTACTTACGATTGTCTAAGTCTGTGTATTTTCAATATTGTTTATTAGTGCTCAAAGTCATGTGGAATTGGCATCCAAGAACGATCAGTTCAGTGTGTAAACCTAACCTCACTGCAGTTATCTGAAGGATGCTTATCACATATTAAACCTGATGAGATACAAGAATGCAGTGAAGATGAATGTTCTTCTGATGATAATACTGGTAAGTAGACATTTGCAACTGACTATTGATATAAAAATCAATATATAAAATCCTACTGGAAAATCATCTAGTCCTCTCGGTAACTGATTATGACCTGGAAATGTTAAACCTTTTCATTTCACAGTGTTCAAATAATGACTCAAAATAAAGGATTGTAAATTATCTTGGGTTGCATATAGATGCCATAATTAGAACAATGAGATATATGCTTGGGTTAACATTGTTAAAGTTGATTGGCAGTGGAACAAAACAGGGTCTTTATGCAAGTGACCAGTGATAAAAGATATCCTCTCCATGGCAACAATAATTTTTTAGAGAAAGGAGAGAAAAGTTATGGATGGCAGTATCTGAAGGTTAAGCTGGGTTTGTGGCATCAGACAACAAAATGATGCTTTAAATTAAAAAAGAAAAAAAAAGTAAAGTATGAGCATGGGGAATCACTTTAGATCCTAAATGGATAGGTAAAAATACAGTTACGAGAAGGAAGTATGTGTTTGATTCCCAGACAGTATTGTGGGTGGTTTAAAATAGACAACTGATAAATGGATACCAACATAAGTATGTCTATATTCCAGGAAAACATGGGAGATACTATCTGGGAATGCAAGTATGCTAGGGAATTATTAAATGGATTTTTTTGGCAGCAAAAACAACAAAAATTGGAATACTCATATAGACATAGGACTAATGAGCACTTATGAATGAAAGCTGAAGAAAATACAATGTTAGATTAAATATAACATTAAAAAGGATGTGTGTAGAGGGAATCAAGTGTGGATCTGACAAGAAAGGACACAGGAGAGGAGGAGTACAGTGACTGTACAACCAGTGTGAATTTGAACAGTCAAAATCTACACTTCAAAACATTTACTGCAGATGATGGGTTAGCTATGGGTTTGCCCTGTAGCTATGTCAATGTAAATTCATAAATCAGTTATTGAGAATCAACATCATAGCTTGCTGGCATTTTCATAGATGGTCTATTTCTCATAGCAAATGTCATAAAGTGTAGATACTGGCTTGCCAAATTTTCTTCCTGCAAAAAGTTATGTTCACTTATAATAAATGAGTCGACCATATATAGCTAAGCTCATAGAATCGAGAACTTACTGTGAATACTATAAAGAATGTTTTAAATGATATACACAGAACAATTAACCAACCAATGCAGTACTTCTGCCATTTCCTGCTAAACGTTGATGGATTTGTTTAGAATGTAGGTGATGTCTAAAGTGCATTGAAGTTAATATTTTATGGCACCTGATTACCTGGTTTCAAAATTTCAATACAACTACCACTTGAACTGTGAGCCACTCTATAAGGAGTCTGGCAAAGATGTATATTGAAGTGTATAAATCATATTAACAATATAAAATACATTTTCTTTCAGCAAAAAGTGCCTTGTGTGAGAATAATGACATGAGCTCCAATGTATGCCGAATGCTGAAAAAAGTTGGCTTGTGTGAGAAACAACACATCCAGGCTAAGTGTTGCAGAACTTGCCACACTGATGACCGGCCCAACCCTAGTGAAGTAGATATGTCAAGGAGATAGCAGAGATATCACTGAATTGCTAAATGTTGATGAGAAATAAACAGATTATTATTAGAATTAAGTTATGAGAGTCGAGTGGATGAAATAACGTTTTCTTAGCAAATATGTCTTTAATTAAAAACTTTCATGAGATGCTCATGTATGATCATTATGTCATAGGCAGACAACTGTACTAGGTTTGTGATATATTTTGAAAAGTCCACAGCCTGTTTAATCTTAATATATAACCTGTCACCTTTTATTAGAGCAGAAATATTTTATTTATAGAAGAAACATTAGTGTTTGGGAAAAAAAAAGCATGCTACAAAAGTACCCCATTGTTAAAAGTTGAAAACAATTAACAAAAAGCACTGCCAATATGCTTATAATAGTCAGAAAATTTTCGAACTGATTTATACATAGAAACATATTTTTATATACTTTTGTAAATATGTGCACATTATGTAAATAATGAATGTTTATCATGATTGTGATGCAGTATTCTTTAGTACTTAAAAAAATTCTCTTCTACTTGAATATCATCTCCGCCTGTACAAACTGTGTAATATTCACAACTACGTTTTTGGGAATATCACAATTTGACATGAAACTATATAGTAACTTTACATACATTTTGTATTATTCAAATCAATAAATTATGCACATGTGTGCCTGCAGTGTGTCAGCCTTTGATACACATGTGAAAAATACTACAGGTATTTATGCTACAAATAAATACTCAATGAAACACATACAAACAAAAACTAAAGCTGTGGAAAGCTAATATCATTATTTTATTGTTGAAATGTTACACTCAAATTATTATGTTAGGAATTTACTACATTAATAAAAGACACAAATTCGCTTTCTAATTTTGGATGTTAAAAGTAAAAAAGAGAAGTGAACTTGATTTAATACTACGTCACACAAACATTTTTGAAACCTTAATACATCTTGATTAATGTTTTGTTGATGTCATATATTATGCCAAATTCGTTGTTAAAGTAAGTGTTTGTCAGTATTAAACTATCATTCACAATCATAATTTCCATAAATAAACATATTGCCAAGTTTACAGCTGTTATATGTGATGGTTTACTCTTTACTCCCTGTGTATGTGTGTGTGTGTGTGTGTGTGAGTGTGCCTGTGATGTTGTTGTTGCTTTGTTTGTATCTTGTGTGTATAAAGATGACATAATGCATACATCTATCTACCTTTTGTTAGTGACTCTTATTCTATAAAATAAATGCTTCAAGCTCTTCTTACCAGTCTGACTTATTAGCTTTCAGTTTGATTGCTTTTACTTGGATTTTCTGGTTTTATTGCTTTAATCTCCCTGTCTAATCTTTCTTCATCAAAAACATAATGCACTGGATTAATTAAAGAACTAACTGAAGTCAGTTTTTAAAATGTTGGGTTACTTCCTTTGGCATAACCCTAAATGTGCTCATATCTCACCTTTCTGGGAATCATCTCAGGTATCTTGTAGGCACTTAGTGTTTCTACAGCTCAGACAAGTTATGGATATTTTCGTGACAGACCCCATCCTACAGATGAATGATTTGTTTATGCATTCTTGCTTGTAATTGCAACATCTTCTATGTGTGTCATATGCTTCTGATGGCTATCTGACCGCAACACCCATGTTGTCATTTATTATTGTAGTTGTTAGGATTTGCCTAGGTATGCAGATCGTTCGGATTAATATTTTTTAATAATACCACATGGAACTAGCTTGTGCATTATGCAAACCTGGGTCTAATATGGAGTTATCCGTTTCATGTAACAGGTTTTACTGGGTGGATGACTAGCTCATATTTTTAGGACCAACTGACACTTAATAGGTGATGTCATCAAAATCACAGTGGCTACCTTTACTGTTCAAAAAATTGTTACCCCCTATTTTAGGGTTGTGTGAAGCCGTGAGACAAAGTTAATAAAAGGAAATGTAAAAGCTTTCTTCAAAATAATGTTAACAATTACCACAGTACCAGCATGCAAAGCCACAGCCCCACTATGGTAAAATTTGGCATACTATTGTACATTTCATGTTTCGTTGGTTATATTGGGAAAGATGCCTATATACTTTAGCATACCACAGAGAATTTGCCACTTCTGAAATAATATATGCATGTATTCTTCATTACCATTACTGTTCTTAACCTTTAGGACTCAAGTATCTAGGATTCACTTAAAGATTGGAGAACGAATGAGTCTCTAAGAACATCCTTATGGTGGATTACAATAGGTAGTAGAAGGTTAAGGTCAGCCTCTGCTAATTTATAAAAGTACAGTAAGGGACCCTCTTACACGCCTTTATGCGTATTGGGCATATACCGCTAAGCCTATATTTTAAAAACTTATATTTTATAGAACAATCGGCACATGGTAGGTGACCTGGTCAGCATCACGCCGGCTGCTGTTACTTCCCAGGGCTGGCTGAACCCACTGATACCAATGTTGTTTGTGAAAAATAATGCTTTATGACCAGACTTTCCGACTTTCCACCCGCGACGCGGAGCCAACGGCGTTACAATGTTGTGAAAAATAGTCTGGTATTATGTCATTGTAGATAAAGTCTGATAGAGTATTAAAATAAGAATACAAAAGGCAAGAGGGGCTTTCATAGCACTAGGGAATTTGTGGAGGTCAAAAGAAATTAAAAGAAATACTAAACTAAAAATTTTTAACGTCAAATCTTTACTATTGTATGGGGCGGAAAACATGGAGAACAACGAAGGCAATTACTAATAAATTACAGACATTCATTAACTGGTGCTGCGCTAAAATGGTATGATAGAATAACTAATGTAGAACTTTGGGAGAGAACTAAACAGGCTCCGATCAGGAGGTGAGGAAAAGACGCTGGCGTTGGATAGGGCACAATGAGTACAGGAGAACAGACTAGTGTCTTTGCATTCAACCCACAGGGGCATAGGAATAAAGGAAGGCTAAAAAAACACATGGAGAAGAGAGCTGGAGAATGAGGTTTGGGAGGAATAGCTCCATGTAATGGCGAAGGATAGAACGACTTGGCGTGAGTTGGTTGAGGGCCTATGCTCCATTGGGGGATAAAAAGGCAGAAGAAGAATGTCATTGACTGTGTTTCATGAAGGGGATAGTAAGGAAGACAACAGAGATACAGGTGACAATTATAGCAGTACAGTTAAAAGCTGAGTGTTTGAGAAGAAGCACTTTAAATATATCCCAAAAATGATTCGGAAATTCCATGCACAAACTCTGGAAGACTTGTCTTACTGCAGGCTGGTCTTGATAGTCTCACTAGCGATGGAATGATACCCTAAGCCTCCCTAAACCACAATACCAGCACTATCGTCTTGAAAGGTGTCAACTATCCCTTTTAGGGATGCATTGGTACTAAAAACTTTTAAGTAGTTATGCTGTGTCATCTCTGCAATGGAGGTTGGTTACAGTGTACTACTGTTAGCTTTGGGAATATTTCGTGGTGAGGCCCCAGTCTCGTCCACGGCGCGATTCTAAAAGCATTGTCCAAAACCCAACTAAAAGTTTCCTTCTGATTATTCATTTGTGTATGTGGGGGGGGGGGGGGGGGGTGGGGGTTTTACATTTTTAAAACAAAATGCTTTTAAAGAAGAAGAAAAAAATGGTGTGGGGAGAGAGAGAGAGAGAGAGAGAGAGAGAGAGAGAGAGAGAGAGAGAGAGAGAGAGAGAGAGAGAAAGAAAGCATTCAAGACACAAAAGAAACACGGATAATTAAATTTTTTAGACTGCTTTAATTAAATACCAGAAGACAATCAAAGGGATAAAAAATTCATTGACCACGGCAGAATGTTAAAAGAGAGGCAGAAAAGACCAAAGAGATGTTAGACAGCTTGCTACCATGACTTAAAGCAACATACTAAATCTATGGCAGCTCACAAAGGGTAGACGACATACACTATGACGAACACCACACGGCGACGACCTTTTTCTTCTTCTTGAAGTCCATGCCCTGTGGTCTTGGTAGTCTTATTTACCCCCAACCTTCTGTCGTTTGTCGTGTGTACTTTCAATTAACTCTGACACAGATGATCCTTCGTCTCATGATTTCCAACTGTCTGGCATCTTTTCTCTGGGGCTCCCTCTGCCTCTCTTTCACTCCAGCTTTCCTACTATCACGATATACTTTAGCTTTATCCTTCTTATGTCATGATAAAAGAATGTAGATTGTCTTTTTCTGATGTGAGCAGTCAGTTCTCTTCGTGAGATAGTTTCTTTCAAGACATCTTCATAATTCGTCGAGAGATAGTTTCTTTCAAGACATTTTTATAACTCTTCGTGAGATAGTTTCTTTCAAGACATCTTTATAACTCTTCGTGAGATAGTTTCTTTCAAGACATCTTTATAACTCTTCGTGAGATAGGTTTCTTTCAAGACATCTTCATAACTCTTCGTGAGATAGTTTCTTTAAAGAAATCTTCATAACTCTTTTGATATTCCTAAAGGTATTTATAGAGCTACATCTCCACGGCTTCCAAATTATTTTTCAGTAATCTACCGAATGCCCATGATTCACTTTTGTATAGCAGGATAGGATTTAGATAGCTATTAAGAATTATATTTTTCCTCTGAGTTGACAAAGAGTGATTGCGTAGAATATTTTTCGTTGTGTGAAATGCTGCCGTTGCTTGAGCTATTATTCACCATTTAACCTTTTTCTTTCATCTGATGTTATCCAGGATCCACGCAATTAAACTGACCGATTTGCTAGAAGATTGTCGATACTGCATTTCAGGGGGTCATTTTTTTGTGGTAATGATCACTACTTTAATTTTTCTACTGTTCAAACTAAGACCTTGTTTTGGCTTTCCATTACAATTAATAAAAATGGAAATTAGTAAAGAGCAGTATGGTTTTGTAGAAGGGAAAGGTACACATAATGCAATATACACATTGCGAACATTAGTAGAGAAATCAAAGGAGAAAAAGAAAGACATATTTGTGCTTCACAGATTACACCAACGTTTTTGATAAAGTGAAACATGATGACATGGTACAATTTCTGTAGGATATTAACTCTGATGGTAAAGATTTCAGAATAATAAAAAATATTTACTGGAAGCAAGAAGTAGCAATTAAATAAACCCACTATGTTGTAACTGTAAAATAAAAATTCGGTAGTAAATTGTGCACCAGACCATCACGTCTTTAAGGGTTCAATCTCTAGACATCTACGACGTGCAGTCAATGACAACTTTCACGGACTTGCCAGACTTGATCAGTTCCATTCCTTCTAGAACTTTGTCCAGTGGCAGTCTGTGGGTAATGGCCGACTTCACGTCCACTTTACCAGCAGCTACCAGCTCCACAGATTCTGGGTAGCTGCAATATAAGATTGCTGAGGTTATTAGAAATATAGGAAAATCATGAGATAAATATGTATATGTCATCTTCACTGAATCGATTATACTAAACAAACAAACTCTTTATCAGCAGAAAGGCAATTTAAAACAAAACATAACACAAACGTAAATTGACTTTTAAACGTCTTCAATATGGTATTCAAATTATGTGTAAGCCAAATATAACAGCATTGATAGCTTTACATCAATCATCTCATTTAGATCTTTACTGTCACTGTTGTTAATGTGTAACGAAGTTCTTCTAGAATTGAAACATAACAAAATGTCTTCATAGTAAATTTATCAAGAGCAGGAAGAGGGTGGATGTTGAAGCGAAAGGTCAATATCAGCAAACAACAACAAGGGCAAAACGATGCTAAACTAAATCATATTAAATCACGATACTGTGTAAAAGGAACCATTTAAAAAAAAAAGATACTGAAACTGAGAATAAGATATTCTCGTCAGAACCCATATTCGAATTACACTGAAAATATATTTGTCATCTGTTTAGTTTATAAACAGTACGCTCCTAAAGTAACTAGAACATGCAAGGACATGCTCCTCCAGTTATAGCAGCAATATCAAATATGGTCAGAGTATGTGAACAAATCAAAATACATATAAAAGAGAGAATGTGAGAGAGAAAGAGTGAGAAAGAGATAGAAGGTGCAACGCACATCTACGTGTGTGTATGTAAGTGCATGTCTGTCAGTCTGTCTGTCTGTCTGTCTGTCTGTCTGTCTGTCTGCCTGCCTGCCTGTCTGTCTGTCTGTCTGTCTGTCTGTCTGTCTGTCTGTCTGCCTGCCTGCCTGCCTGTCTGTCTGTCTGTCTGTCTGTCTGTCGTGTCCGTCCGCCTTCTCCTGCCTGTCTATGTATGTATGTATGTATGTATGTATGTATGTATGTATGTATGTATGTATGTATGTAGTATGTATGTATGTATGTATGTATGTATGTATGTATGTATGTATGTATGTATGTATGTATGTATGTATGTGTGTATGTGTGTATGTACGTATGTGTATGTATGTGTGTGTGTATGTATGTATGTATGTATGTATGTATGTATGTATGTATGTATGTATGTATGTATGTGTGTGTGTGTGTGTGTGTGTGTATGTATGTATGTATGTATGCATGTATGTATGTGTGTATGTATATTGTCTATTCTAATCGTATATAAAACTGAAGCTCTTCCAGTGATCATCAACAAGCAGGAATGGCTCTCGATCGCCACTGGATCCACTAAAAGCAATAGATGAAGACTATACTTTGCGACCCGGGAACATTTAGAGACTAGCCACATTATAAATGGCGTAGTAACAAAAAAAAAAAAAAAGCGGACCGTAGAACCAGAAAGAATCACGTGAGTTAAGCAGTAGGACTACACATCGTTGTTTCACAAAAAAAAAACAGATTGCCCCTTATGCACTGTGGAAAACCATTTTAATTAACCTGATCAAGTATTCAACACCCCCCTCCACCTTTCCACCTCTCCCCAACCCACCGTCAGTCATTGGGAGACTGTGTAGTGGGTAAACAGCATGAAGAGAGAATGGTTTAGCAGTGCTATAGAAACAAAGAAAAACATAAGTACTAACTGTGCAAGCAACATACAAAACTGATAAACCGTTTCACAAATAAGTTGCAAGATAGTTACAGTTGTAAATTAACACTAAAAACAATCACTTACTTATTATCGTTGGCAAAAGCACCAAGGATATCAATTTCCCGTACAGCTGCCATTCCAATGTGTGCGTACATAGCCATTTCACCGAAACCAATCATCATGACTTTACCCCCACGTGCGCATGACTGTTTTGAAAATAAATTCTGATAAGTAAATAACGTTGTGATTATTTTGTCGAGTTTCTTATTTATTTATCAGCACGATATTTGGTCTCTAGCTAGTGTGTGTCAATATTAATAACTTTAAGTTAAAGCCAATTTTAAGTATAGCAAACAACTTACAGTGCGGCGTTTGTAGTTGAACACAACAGCCGTTTCGCTGGTAATAATTGCAAATTGAGAATTTAGTCGATGCCATGATAACAGACTGTTTTTTTCGTTATTTGTATTTTCATGTCTCTCTTAACTTCGAATTTTCCTATTTTTATTAATTCTTTGGTGTCTCTCTTGTTATGACTTGCTCAACGAATGTGATTGTTTTTCTTCTGAGAGATTGAATATAATTTATATTGTGTTCTGAATAGTTGTCTCATTGCATGTGTTTCTGTATAATGAGAGGTTTTGTAGGAGCAACTTCAGAAGAAGAAAAAGGAGAAGAAAAAGAAGTATTATATATATATATATATATATATATATATATATATATATATATATATATATATATATATATATATATATATATATATATATATATAAATATATATATATATATATATATATATATATATATATATATATATATAATATACTTGTTTTTCTTCTTCTTTTCTTCCACCTTGTACCTCATCGATGTGTCGGGGGGAGATGTAACATTCGTTGATGAGCTCTGTCAATAGCACTATTAGATATACATTTATACACATATATATATAAAACAACATAGTATTCTGCAGGACGTGCAGGATGACCAGTTCTGTTCCTCACTATACTTTACGATCGGTTGAGCCTCTTGTGACACATTATGCAGGTGAGTCGCTAGCAACCTGGACTTTTACACAAAGACAAGAAAAGCTAACCTGGTTAAGCCAGCTCGATCAAGAAATTTTATGTATTAGATGTGTTATCATGTGCTGCCAAAAATCGTTTTACCAGAATATTGAAGGAGACAGAGAAGTTAACAACACCTACTTCATTTAACTTTATCCTTTTTTGTGTATGATCTAACCAATGCTTTCAGAAACGCTATTACAATATTTGACTTAGCTAAGTGCACAAGCAACAGTCACCAAAGCTTTTATCAATTATATATATATATTTGTATCCAGAAGCCATGAGTTTTAACCCTTAGGCTCGGTATTATGGATATTGCAACCCTTCGGCCTTGATTCCATGATAAATACCGTAAATCTGGGAGAAATGGGGCTTTTCTGCCTATCCCTGGGCGTGAACCCGGACCACAAGGAGCTCGTCACACAGTCACCGCGCAATCCGGTTTAGCCAACTACGCTAGCGAGCCGGGTAATTATATAATTAAAATAAAGTAAAGCACCGTTGTTACGCTACTGGTATATCAGGTATATGATGCTAGTTATGAAGACCAGTCGTCACTAGACGGTTGATATGATCAACGAGACACCAGTTGCCTTTACTTCCCAGGACTTTACTTTGTGAACTTTCTAGATTTGGTCGTCCTGGTAGCCAAGGTTATTTCTAGAAGAATAAAAAAAATTACACGATTTGAACCCACCCTTCGAGTCCATTGGCTAGCGTCTAGCTGCTACACCACTGTTGTCACTCAATTATAAATACATCACTATAATATATTTATAGATGATTTAGATAGAATCAACATGTTATTACATGAATGGCCACATCCACTATCCCCGGTGCGCCACTACATTCCATGAAAAGGTCTGCCTCGCTACCAAGAGCTGTCTTCAGTTCCTCAGATGCAGCTTGCGGATCTGAAGTTGGCAATGTAGGCTTGAAAACTAAATCTGCTCCCATCTTGGATGCAAGTTGAAGACGACTTTCGTTAATATCTAGTTGAAAATGAAACAATAAGTTGTTCAAATCTATGGGTAACAGGCAATTCACCACAAGTGTTTTGATAATTCCAAAAGTATATAATGTTCTTGTTATTTTCTACCACAGACACAGGCTGTATTACCTAATGTGTCTGAAACATTTGATTATCTACGACTCACTGGAAAAGACAGGGTTTAAATCTCAGAGAGAAGATAATATCAAAACTCGTTTTATCATAAGAAGTTGCACTTTAACTCTTTCAGGACGGCATTTTTTTCCGGGGTTTGGACAATATTAATTTGCAGCTGAATTTTATTTACTGCAACATGACAAAGCTGAAGGGGAACAGGTGAGGCTTGTCATACCATCTCACACAGTAATAACTGCTTTTATTTTTAAACTCTTTCTTGCCTCACTGAAGGCATTGCCTGCACCAGCACAATCAGCTAAAAAATTGGTTTGGTCTAAATAAATTAAAATAAAAACATCATGAGCCAAAAGAGGTAAACTGACAAATGGTGCTTGTGGCCAACATAACTACTGAATGGGATACAAGAAGGTAAGAAAACGTACATCACATAAACAGAGATCAGTAACCACTCAAAGCGTTGCTTGGGACAGAGAGAGTCAACGGAGGAGAGAGGTCCAACTCCACTGCACAAACACTGGCTATAAAATTCCAAAATCAAATTCATTACTCTTAGAAAGTTAAGCTCAACGACCTTGCCACTACGCCACGAAGGATACTATGGTTGCTATCTAATTATTAGACCAAACTTTAGCGTCCTGGTTGTAGAAAAGCTATTTAGATTGAAACAATAATAACAAGAGTGAGACCATATTATAGGTTTCGATGGAATTTCTACCATAAATACACTCTAATTCTGGGTATAATACACTCTAATTCTGGGTATAATACACTCTAATTCTGGGTATAATACATTTTTATTCTGGGTATATAGATTAAACGTGAGCCTCAGCTGTACCCTGTGCAGCATGTTCGCCTTTCAGTTTGTGAAGGTTCCAATTCCCATCTAGTAAGTGTAAAAATGTACTCAAGCTTCTAAAAGTACATAGAATACAGTTTGGTAACAGAACGTGTTCTGCATGATTTTGACATCGTCCATCTAGTGCCAGTTGTATCTAAATAATATTCAGTTACCACTCCTGTTAGAACCCCTGCCCCACTACACATACAGCTGAATGGTTCTACTCTGAATCAAGTTAGGGAGTTTAAATATCTAGGAAGTATGATCACAGAAGATGGTAGAATTGACAGAGAAATAGAAACCAGATGCCAGAAAGCAAGTGACTCTATATATACCAATTGTCACTAATATTAAGACATCCAAGCATAAATATGAGTGCAAAGAGACAGATAAAGTTAGGGAGTTAGCATCAAATAGCATTTTTATTCCAACATTAGGCTTCCAGTGCCAAACATGGACACTATCTAAAGCCCATATACGCAAAATCACTCCCAGCGAGATGAGGTGCCTGAGAAAAGCAGCCAAACTAACCATCCGAGATCGAGTGAAAAAAAAACTATCAGGCAAATTGTGGGAACGACACCTTGTACTAGATTCACCGAGAAACAGCAGATTAAGTGGTTTGGCCATCTTGTTAGAATGCCGCAAGATCAAATACCATCACAAGCACTACATCTCAGAAGATCAGCTACAAGAGCAAGAGAACGGCCGCGGAAAACATGGATCGACAACATTAAAGACACCATACACCTTCACAGCATGACAATAGCCAGTGGCAGCCAACGTGCATTAGATTGCAAATTATTCCTCCCAACGATGCTTAACTGCAAAAATGGTTTATGATGATGACGATGATGATGATGACTCCTGTAGTGCTAAGCATTTTTATACAGATGTTCTTTATGTTGTAATATATATATATATATATATATATAATATATTATATAATATATATATATGTATATATATATATATATATATATATATATATTGTCCTAGCCTATCCGTGTTCTTTAGCCCTCCATATTTACTATTGTCTCCACAAACCCACTATTGCCCTTTACACGAATTATGCGGATTTTCTACTTTTGATAAGGGTAATCAGTTCTCTTTGTGAGTTAATTTATTTTACATAATTTATTTATAACGTATTGTCATCTTGCTGTGAAGGAATGTTATGTTGCTATTCACATATTTTAATCAATATGAGTGTTAGAGAGCTTATGTACTGGACGATGAGAACATTTCTATTTGTTTTAAACGACGAAGACAGGAGCACTAACATTCACAACAAATCAAAACAGTCAACAAATACTAACATTCACAGCAAATCAAATCAGTCAACAAATACTAACGTTTACATCAAATCAAATCAGTCAACAAATACTAACATTCACATCAAATCAAATCAGTCAACAAATACTAACATTTACATCAAATCAAATCAGTCAACAAATACTAACATTCACATCAAATCAAATCAGTAAACAAATACTGACATTTACATCAAATCAAATCAGTCAACAGATACTGACATTTAAATCAAATCAAATCAGTCAACAAATACTGACATTTAAATCAAATCAAATCAGTCAACAAATACTAACATTTATATCAAATCAAATCAGTCAACAAATACTAACATTCACATCAGATCAAATCAGTCAACAAATAAACGCATCTAATCTTCAGTTGAACCTTGATGGCTATGTAATTAGTCGACATAACATCATTATCTGTGTATCGAACCTTGAGTCCATAAGTGCCCAGAACCTCTTCTCAGCAAAACCCTCAGCGTGTAGCCGCTACCGACACCAGTTCGGCGCTAGTTTAATTTTTTTCTTTGACTTTCTGCACAGTGCAATTGTCTGGTATCACTTCTCTTGAATCTTGAAAATTATTTTTCTCCAATGTTTACCTATTATTTTAACAGTAGGGTAATAATGCCTTTAGTAGCTGTTGCTTTGGGAAACTCCGTAGATAAACACCCGATGACACAAAGTGCCACCATGCGGAGGAGGATCACCCGTGGAGAGGTCCCGGAAACCGGGTTCAACCATTAGACCATATCTATAGCCGGGCTATATTGCGGCCCCTGGAAAGAGCCAGAGTGGGGCTTCATAATAACGAAAAATTGCATACCATAAGGGGATGACTAGCATAAGTTGGTATCGTTCGTAATATAGAACTGGCTATCGCATTCCAGTCTACTGTACCTTATCATTTGCGAAGAGTTTACGCCACATCACCAGTAGCCACCAATCGATTCCTCAAATGCCAGCGGTCCCCCCCCCCCCCCCCCCCCACCCCTCCCTCTTTCTCTTACCTTTCCCATATAAAGATTAAATTCAGCTTTACCGTAAAGTACCAATGAGCATTCTTATCAGCTAAATGTAAAACGTGATATATTAGGGGAGCCAACGAAATATTGGTGATGGGAGTTAGGGGAAGCAGTCAGCTCCCTTTAAATTTGCTATCAGCAGTAAAGCTCTGTGGCGTCTATATACTGAATGAGCCACACACATATATTTTCTGAAATAATATAAAACGAGTACAAAAATACCTAAAAAGCGAAATTATTCACTTAGTTAGTGGTGGTGATGGCGGAGTGGGGAGGGCACTTAAACCTCTTGCAAATTTTCTAGAGGAGGTAGAAGCGGGGAGCTTAGCCCACCAGTGAAAAATATGGGAAGCAGCCTCTCAAGGTGTTTGAGCCCCGGGTTTTGTAAACTTTTCCCCCTGCCTTCAGGCGTATTGGGCATATAGGGCTAGACCTATATTTTTAAGGACCAGTTGGTACTCAGGGATGACGTGGTCATTATTACGCCAGCAGTCCTTACTTCCCAGGACTTCACATTGTACCCATTTAAGGCTTGGTCGACCTGGGAGTAAAGGGTTTTTTAAAGAAAAAAAAAAAAAATAGTCCGGCTCTATCATGACCTGAACCCACGACATTCGGATCGGCAGGTGAGCGTCAAGCTGCTTCACCACGCTCGCTCCCATTTATCAAGAGTGTTGAGCAGTTATGTCGAACAATGATCCTATTGTGCTCATGTTGATAACTCAAGGAAAAGTTAAGTATTCAGCTTTAAGTAAAACATATGTTTAACTTACCAACCATCATGACTTTGCCTGCTCCTAGTGCTTTCGCTACTTGCATAGCAAATAAACCAACAGGACCTTATGAATTCAGAAATAAAATAACAAGCAAATGTGTGATTGTGTTAAGGTATCTTTAATTAGGGAATTAATTTCATTCGTGTCACGACTACATGCTAATATTAGTAATAAACACAGACACAAGGGCATAGTTCTTTAATGGTAGACTAATGTTATCACCAACAAGAGGATGGCCACTATCGTAAAGCTAAAGGATTATATAACGTGCCCGTATCAATAAAGAACAAAAGGTTTCATTTTAATGACTGTAAGTCAGCGTCTCTCTCTTAGGTGATACGAACACGCTTAGTAATGCTGCAGATGTGGCTCGTTCGATCCAAGCTGCAGGCAATTTGGCAGCAAACTGTCTTGCGCTGTTTTCGACAGCGATACCGACAGCAGACAGTTTAGTGTAAGTGCAAACAACTGAATGTACAATTTGGCTAGAAAAATCACAAACAGCCAAAAAATGCTAGGGTTGGTTTCTGTGAAGGATACGTAGCAAAACTTAATATTGAATATTATCGATTATAGCAACTGAAAATAGGGAGTACTGCAGTCCAGCAATGACTATGCACGAGCCACTACTGACTTCTATCACAAATAGAGTGGCATTCATAGTATACAGATTAACCATGCGCTACAGGATGTCCCGGTTCGTGGCTTGTTTCCACGGTTTCCATTATGGTCTCTCTGTGCTGTTGATTGTATTCTTCCTCATATTTGTTGTTGTTGCAAAGGACTGTTTCAACAGGAAATTTTGGACAACATTGTTAGTACTGACGCATGATCATTTACAATCTGCACGCTACATTTTATTTGATTTACTTGGAGGATTTTATACAATACTGAAATATTGTCTCTCGTCATTCTTCATTAGGGTTGTCAAAATTCATCCATTTATGCGGACGCTTAATCTTTTTACGTCGGCATTGGTGGCCTACGTGTTGAGAACGGGCTTCGTAAAGCCTGGGTGCCGGGTTCGATAACAGCTGTGAACGATTTGTCTTGCGTTAGTTTCCACAGTGGTACCAAAAGCTGACCGTTTAGACGCAAAGGCAAACTATTGAATGTAAAATTTGTCTAGAAAAACCACAACAGCCAAAGATGCTGGTTTTGGTTCTGCAACGTTCTGTAAAGGATAAGCAACTAACTCGTTTACAAGTATATCTGAGCGTCTGCAGATTGGCAAACGCATAGCAACACTGTTCTTCATTTAAAGTTTTGTTTTGCTTTTGTGTAGGTGTACCGCTTCAGGAATCGAGAAAACCTTGATATATGGACTCTTACCTGCCCCAGTAACGATCACCGCATCTCCCGGGGACATTCTCGCCCGCCGGACAGCATTAACTCCAACAGACAGGGGCTCTATCATGGCGCCTTCTTCCAGACTAACATTGTCCGGTAGTCTGAGAAATGCATTTTCTTCTATTAAAATAATATTCTCTAAGAGATCTATATTAAAGAAAACACACTTTTTAGTTTAATAAATAAAAACGGAAAAATAGAATTAGGTAAATCGAAAACATCAGACCAAGCTGCGGTGGAAACAAAATTAAGTAAATGTCCACCTATATTAATTTCAATTAACTTATATAATGTTCTCCCTGGCTGCAAAAACAACGACCTCCTCATCTTATCACCTTATTGTTGAATTTCCATGTTTTTTTGTGTTCTGCCTTTGTTCGTCTGACTATGTTTATTTTACTGCAAGGATATTCCAGGTATACTGTTATCAAGAATTCTCAGTTTGTGCTTTCTATCACCTGCGTCTTTTCTTCACCAAAGCTCCACATGAGTGATTCCCTTCCAAAGCTTCATATCAGTGATTTCATTCCAAAGCTCCAAATCAGTGATCCCCTTCCAAAGCACTACATCAGTGATTCCCACCCAAAGCTCCACATCAGTGATTCCCTTCCAAAGCTCTACATCAGTGATTTCCTTCCAAAGCTCCACATCAGTGATTTCCTTCCAAAGCTCCACATCAGTGATTCTCTTCCAAAGCTCCACATCAGTGATTCCCTTCCAAAGCTCTACATCAGTGATTCCCTTCCAAAGCTCCACATCAGTGATTCCCTTCCAAAGCTCTACATCAGTGATTTCCTTCCAAAGCTCCACATCAGTGATTTCCCTTCCAAAGCTCTACATCAGTGATTCCCTTCCAAAGCTCCACATCAGTGATTCCCTTCCAAAGCTCCACATCAGTGATTCCCTTCCAAAGCTCTACATAAGTGATTTCCTTCCAAAGCTCCACATCAGTGATTTCCTTCCAAAGCTCCACATCAGTGATTTCCTTCCGAAGCTCCACATCAGTTGATTTTCCTTCCAAATGCATACCTGTTAGATACATATTCTTATTGTTAATGAGCTGTTTTTCCTCATGATTCACTCGACATTTGATGTCTTTTCAATGTATACGTCGTACACTATTGGTGAATTATGCCTGACCTACCGTATGGCTATTTGTATTTTCACAACTGTATTATTAATGTTTTCGGTTGGAAGTCAAATAAATGGAAAAGTAAACAGATACTTATGGTGAGTGTATGCAGGGGTGGTCATGTATGGGGGCAAATGAAAACACCCTAATACTTACTTTTGGGCACGTGTATGGCAATGAAAAATGCAGGGTTGGTTATGGCAAGTGTATGGAGGGGGTCATGGGGGCAAAGAAAACCCTAATGAAACTTATGGCAACCCAAAGGTTTACTTTATGGAAAGGGGGGGGGGGGGGCTATGAAAACACCCAAATACTTACTTATGACAGGTGTATGCATGGGTGGTCATGTATGGGTGCTATCAAACACGAAAATACTTACCTATGACCGGTGTATGCAGGCGTTGTCATGTTGGGGGCTATGAAAACACCAAAATACTTACCTATGACAGGTGTGTATGCAGGGGTGGTCTTGTATAGGTGCTATGAAAACACACAAATACTTACTTTTAGCAAGTGTATGCAGGAGTGGTCATGTTGAATGCTATGAAAACACCCAAATACTTACTTATGGCAAGTGTATGCAGGGGTCGTCATATACGTGGCAAAACCTCCATCAATTTTGATGACTCCAGAGAGAATCATGTTAAGACACATATTGGTTCGAGGCTTCTTGCATTGCGTACAGGTACCACATGGTCGACAGGGGTCAATGGCAACTCTGTCACCTGCAAGATGTTGTCAACCATAATTATGGATTTATAATTGTTCGTTTTCCGCATTTTAATGGTCATTAGCATTAGAACTGTAAGCCGTAACAAGTTCGCTAACCTCTGATGTCACATGGACTGTGTTTAGTTTTATTAAGATTCCTTGATCGTTTCTTTTTCTGATAAAAGTAAGAATAGGCATGGTACAAACTGTCAGATGCTCTGTTATGGTTTTGAATCGAGTTAAGTGAAAAAAAAAAAAGCGAAACATAATGATAGTAACATGTCCCGGACATGTAGGCATTCCGTATTTTCTGCTATCAGTACCTGGTCGTCGGCGAAGAGTAATTCTGTAATATCTTCTTTATGATTAAAGCTCGTTTCGCTCCATATGGTATCCATGTATGTTATAGAAAGAAGCGGCGATAATATACAGCCCTGACGCACACCAGAGTTCACTATAAAAGTTCTTGACAACCCTGCCTTCGATCTTATGCAGCATTTACTACGTGTGTACAGGCTTTTGCAAATATTAATGAGATGATTACTGATTTCTTTTTTTTCCATACATTCCCACAACATATTTCTGTCGACTCTATCGAAGGCTTTTTCTTGGTCTATCGAAAATAACATAAAAAATGTCTTATCATGTTCTATTGCCCTCTCTGATAGTTGTCTCAATGTACAAATGGCATCTGTGCAACTTCTGTTTCGTCGAAAGCCCATCTGTGCTTCTGAAAGTTGAAACTCTATCAATGGTCTCAGCCTTTTTTCGATGATCTTAGCAAACATTTTCCCAGTGTGACTGAGAAGTGATATTCCTCTGTAATTAGTACATTCCCTCTTACTTTCTTTATTTTTCCACAGCGGGACAATGATAGCAGTCTGCCAATCTGATGGTGTTTCTTGATTTTTCCCATGCTACCTAAAATATTCTCTTTAACCATATTGCTCCCGTTTCTCCTGATGCCTTAATGGCCTCAGCTGGTAGATCATCAATACCTGTCGCCTCAAGTCTAGGGGCGGTTCGAATGACATATTTTACTTCATCCAATAATATACATGGTTCTAGTTCCTTCCATCATGATCTGTGATTCCTTGCTCCTTTTTCTTGGTTTCAGCCAGAGCCAAGACTCCTAATTTCGCTTTCCTCATCTCCCCTACTAACTCCTTTTCCTTCCCGTTAATGCCTCTTATGTTCCATAAATCGTAGTCCGTAAGCCATGCCAGTTCGTCGCCGTTAAGATCCGTCCGGTTTTCTCTCTGTATTTACTTTTAATCATAGTTTAATGCAAAAATGAGATATCTGAGAAAGGTGGTCCAAGTGACAAGAAGGGACAAAGTCCGCAATCAGACAATACGTCAAGATCTTGATACCCAGTCCTTACAAACCCGAGTGGATCAGTCACAGTTACGATGGTTTGGACATGTATGCAGAATGGGAGAAAATCGGCCACCATGGCAGGCATGGGAGGCTAACAGAACCAGGAACCAGACCTCCAGGACGACCCAAGGGGTGCGCTGGAGGATACACATCCGACACTAACCCTAAACTGACAGAGGACTGGGAATGGAACAAAGCCAGAAAGAAAACTGCTGATAGAGACGTCTGGCGATCTCTCTGGCAAACCTCTACACCCCAAGGTAGAAGAGGAGTGACTAAGTAAGTAAGTAAGTTCTAGTTCCTCTGCTGTTAGTTGCGAGTTGTTTTTATGTTCTTCCCTGCTTTTATCTGTTTTATTGCTTTAATGTAATTACTCCACCTTGC